TCGAACAGGCCAAACAGGTTCAAAAGTCTTGGGGCACTTGCGTCACCCAGATGGGTGATTACAGATTGGAAAGCGCCAAGATCGTAGCCAAAACTCGAAACCTGAAACAAGGCTTGGAATAGAGCGTTGGCGTAGCAGGAATTGGCTGTGTTGGACAAAACACGTTTGTGTAGACCTGTAGGCTGTGGCGCTTGGGAGGCTGTGCCATGCGTCCTAGAACCCAAAAAGTGCGCCAGCTTCTTTGTCTGAGGTGCTGACGGCTGAGGGGCAGAAACGTCGTCCGCCTCAGGCTGCCCTCGCAGCCATTGGGTACTGATTTGATATAGCACTGAGCACTGCTCCGGATGTAGTCGTCGGTCATAGACCTTGTAACCGCCGAAAGGGCACGGGTGGCCCTTGGCTAGCTGGGGGGAGTAACCCTGACAGATGCGAACTGCCCGGTTGTGCAGTCTTGACCAGTCCTTAGGGTGAGCCTGACGATAGTGCGATTTGACCTTGGTATGGTCATAGGTCCAGAAATCACAGGTTAAGCACCTGTGGTTGAGGACTTTGGGCTCCGGCTTCCTCGAGAGCTCCGAAATTCGGTGCTGCGGAAGAGAAGCTATGTCCTGCCGCAGTCTAGAGAGAGTACTGATGTCAGGGTGGCTGGACTGTTTGTCCTCCTCTTTCAGTGAGCGGAGTTTCTGAGGTTCCGGGCATGCCCCTGATAACAGATGGTCGCGTAGACCTTTCCATTGATGGAATTTGCGATAACATGCCGAACATTGCGGCATCCCATCCACAGCGTGCAGTTTGCGATCGAAAGAGGAGGGCACGAAGCGTTCAATGCTCGCCGGATGGACCCTCGACTTGTGTAAGTGCAGCCCAGTTGCTGTCTCGAATGAAGCCGTACACAGCGTGCACTCATGCTGGGTAACTGGGTTTGCTTCAGGCTCGGGGAGGTGAGACAGAACTCGAAGTTTATCGCGAATGACCTGCAGAACCGAGGGGTCCGTCGTAATGTCTGGGCGCTGCACGGCGCGTCGCTCCAATTTGCGTAGGCGTTTCCTTAGTTTGGACTGTAGTGCCTGAACAGGATCCTGGATGTTGTATAGCTGGAAAAGATCCTTGGTAGTAATCCTTGTGGTGTGAGCCGGAAGGTTCAGCACCGATCGAACCTTATAGGCGTGCCAGCTGCGAAGCTGTTTGGCCGACTCCTCGCTCAAGCCTACATCAGATAAACCAGTCGTCAAGGTACTCATGACTGTGCTCTGCCACACTTTGAGGCGCGACATGGTGCTCGCATATCGTCTATTGTAGACGAATTGGCGAACCTGATGTAACTTTTGCTTCGCCTCTCCTATTCGGAAGTGCAGAGTTTGCAGCTCGAAGTGGTTGTAGGAAATCATAACACCTAGGTACTTGCTTGAGGAGACCCATTGGAAGGCCGGAAAAGACTTGTTTGGGCCTATACGCCATCCCCTGACTGGCTCGCCCTTGGGGTTGGTGAGCCAGCAGCTATGCTTGTTCGTCACGTTCTGGGCTTCCCGACCCGCCAACTTAACGAGTATGACACATTTGCTGATGTTAACTCTGAGGCGGTGTTTTCTGACTTCCTCCAACAGGGCTGCGATGAGTGATGGATGGCCTTGAGGTCCTTCTCTGAGCGGATAGTCCTATGTAGTGTCAGATCGCGTCAGAAACTTCAAGACCTGCTCGGCTCCAAACAGGTTTACCAAAGAACGAAAGAGATCGCCTGTAAGGAACGAAAAAAGGGTGGGGGCAAGCTTACATCCTTGCTTGATACCTGCAGTGGTTTCAATGGAAGTGGAGTCACCCTGAGCGTGCAGAACGTATCTGGACCCATCATGCAGAGCCTGAACGAGGTGGACTGTGTCCTGATCGGCTCCCTCGGATTGAAGGAGACCGATGATCTCTTGGCGAGAGACTGTGTCAAACGCCTGGCTAAGGTCTAGCGCGAAGGTCAGGCCTCCTACTAATGACGGCGCTTGGGCGCCTTGTTGTAGGGCGTGCCTTGTAGGGTTAGCCTGCTCTAGAAGAGACCGGGCTTCTCTCAAGTGATGCACTACCCGATCAAGCGCGTCAGACAGTCCTCGACCAGGCAGGTAGGCAAACTGTGGCAGGTGTTTAAGGTACGAAAGCGTCAAGGGTTGATCCTCGAGGGCCTCCCTAGCAGCGCCCGCCAGACCTTTGGCGTCCGGACGTAGGATACCTAAGGGACGTAAGTTCGCCGGCTTGTCCGACGGCTTGCCTGGCATGGGGATGAGACATAGGTCAGCATCGATGAGGTCGGAGTCTAGTCCATCCTCTACTTGTTTGTGCCTAGACAGAACTGGAGCTACACAGTCTCCAGATGGCTGCAGGCGCAGCCCCATCAGGTACCGCCTTGTTGGGCTTGATGGAGTGGATGTGAGCCGCGAGTTTAGGGGGCTCCAAAACTGGAAAAGCTCTTGTCATAGGCCTCAGTGGGGGATGTGCCGCAAAGACCTGGTTTGCGTATGCCCTGAGTGAAGCCAGCTCCTGCGCCGGCCCCAGAAGGTGACCCGTGTCATCTTTTAGCTGAGCTCAACGCGCCGGCTGCCATGGCTGCAGCTTCTTAAGGGTTTGGAACGAAATGTGCTGGTCTCCTTCCGCAAGACTTGCGTCCACTTCTGCTATGAAACTCGCAATTCTGTCCTTTTTCGCTTGTTTCACAGCTTGTCGGTGCGCAGCCTGCGCCAGCTCCTCCTCAGTCATTGGCTGAGGTTCCGTGTTCAACCCAGGAGGCTGTGCCATTGGTTGAGATGGCTCAATCAGCTGTGCTGAGGGAGCTGTGCCGTCTGCCCGACGGGAGGATTTGGCCCTCCACATTCGCCGAGTCTCTGGTTCAAGCGGGATCATACGTCGTGTAGGGGTTTTGGGGAAGAAGCGTTCTGCACCTTCGAGCAGTAATGAATTCCAATCTGAAGGATCTTGACAGTGTGCAATTCTAGAGGCAACCCAGCTATGAAGCGCTTTGGCTGTGTCATCTTCCGCCCGGACTGAGGCCTGAAGAGCTAGAGAGTCATATCGTCGGGAGCTACCTTTTCGGGGAGGAAGCAGCCAATGGTGCTGGAGTGGGATCTCAGCCCTAATCGGGTAGTGCCCACCTTTCTTCCAGCTGCCCAGTGGGCAATCTGTCCAAGGGGCAGACCGTTTGGCTTTGCCTCCTGCGGTGGATTCCTTAGTGAGAACGAAATCGATCTGAGACTCCACGCCTCGCTGGGCAAAGGTGGCTATGTGCTCACAATGCCAGGTGTTCAGGGCTACCAGGCGCAGCCTGAGCAGCAGATTGGAGAGGTGGGACTCGTCTGGGCGGTCCTCCGACGGTGGCTTCACATGTGTTCCCACCAAGGGCGGGATCGAACGCAGGGAGGTGCTGAAGTCTCCTGCCACAACAAGAGAGTCTCGCTTGGGTACCTGCTTGACCACTTTGGACATGACTGACAGTACATGAGCGCGGTCATCTTTGTTAGACTGTATGGACTTGGCTGAGGACCAGGCGTGTTGATATACAGCCACAATGACCAGTCTAGTTCCTGCCATGTCCGCACGGGCCTCGAGGACTCGGCCTGGGCTCCACTCCTTCCAGCGGAGGCTCTTGGCTGCAAACTTGGGCGAGAACAGAATCATAACCCCATCCGCCCGAGTTGTGGATGGTCCCTCTTTCGAATCCTGTCTGGACTTGCGCTTGGCACCCTGCTTCTGCTGGGGACTGCGTTTAGCAGAAGCTGAGGCCGAAGAAATGCAATACCAGCCTGAAACGCTGAATTCGCTAGTCTCCGTCCAATGTGTTTCCTGCAGAATGAGGACATCACAGTGATTGGAGGCTTCAGCTGCCAACCACGTTTTTAATTCTCCCCATTGCTGTTGACCTAGGTGCCCCGCATTACAAGAGACTACCCTAATGGATCTTTCTAGTCTTCCTGCCCTGCGGGAGGCTGTGCCATATGCAGGGGAGCCGTCAGTCTGTGACTGTAGCTCTCTTCGAGTTGGTGGGGGCCGGACCCCTAGCCGGTTGACCAGGGTAGGTGTCAAGACCTGCCCGCGGTATGGTACGGGCCCGTCACTTCGTATTGTACGTCTACATGCTGTCTTGAACGAATTCTTGCGAAGAGATGCAAAGTTTTGTGAGTGCACTGGCAGTTGCGCCATCCGCTACTTTCGTCAAGAGACAGAAGCCTAATGACTCCCTCCACTGCGCGGAAGTGGAAACCCTACCGCCTACCCAGTGTTGCAATGTTTTAAACAGAGTCTGGGCCCAGGAATTGGGACCTGGCGGCTCAAAGCAGCTCCTGCGAGAAAAGGGAGCGGGCCATGGCGTAGAAGGAGGCGCAAACCTTTACTGTTCGGAAAAGGGCCCAGTAGGAGCCTCTAGCACAGCAGTTGCGCCCCAAGCCTGTTCGAAACCTCTCTTTCAGCGCGGCCGCTTGAGCACTTGTGGCGGCTACTACTACTACTACTACTACTACTACTCCTACTACTGCTACTACGACTACTACGACGACTGACTACTACGACTGCTACTTCAATAACTACTATGCCTACTACCATAGTCAGGGCCACTGCAACTGCAACTGCCACCGACACCCGCACCGGCCAGGGTCTGCAGTTCGTTCCCCAGCCCATCGTTGGAGGTTCAGGATTTCCCGACCGTAGTTTCGTGAGCTTCGCACCCATCAGGCCGTTTGCCGTAGCTTTGGTGTTATTTGCAGGTGTTTGGGTTCCTTCCACAGGCAATTTTCGGGTTTTGGGTTTCCTGGCCGACTCGTTTCTGTTTGGATCTTGGGATTCTCTCCTAGTGTTTCCTCCCGTCTTTGGATTAGCCACCCAACGCCTCCGAATACACTTCGGGCTTTCCCAAGCACCACGCTTGTCCTCATAGCCCGAGGCAGAGAAAGAGACAGGCCTGCCCTTTCGTGTCCATCAAGAAATGAAAACTGTTGCAGAGTGGGTTGACACTTTCGAGTTGAATAGCTGAGGAGCACTACCGAGCTGTATCGCCACGTGGCAGCGGAAAGTGGCATGCCGTTTGACAAGCTTGGACAGGTTTCATGCTAGTAGAGCTGCTAGCTAGCACCGGCATGCTTGCCGTCTAGGTATATCCGTGCCACCCTCTTCCTACACACGGCATCGATTTAACTTGATCCTGCTTCACGCAGGACTTGTGATGCTGAACGACAGTGTGACTCTGGCCAAAGATGATTGCCAGGTGGGAGAAGCCCCAGAAAGGGATAGTCTGCTCTTGGCTGACGCCAGCCATGTATGCGCTTCACCGGAAGCTGGAGCCGAGTGATAGTGAGATTCGGCATACGTGCCATATCCCACCTCTTCCCACATATTTCGTGGTCTGCAACTGCACTGGTGGGGATAGGTCGCCGAACTTACCAGCTGCATCCGCACATACGTGCACTCTCAGAAGCGCCTGTTGCCAGAACTTCGCATTGCTGCAAGACGCTGTAGAGGTGCTTTCGCACGGATTTCGTTCTGGCTTCTCCGTCCTCCTTGGGATGATGATCTCAGGTGCGAGCCTGCGAGATTTTCTCGCGATATGTCCTTTCTTGATTCTCCACACACTTGCATGCTTCCTGTCCCCAGCAGGTGTTCTACGCCCCGACCATTTTTGGGACTTCCGCAGTGCCTCCGACGAGGTCTGCGATGCTTATGGTGGGCCCGTTGCTCACCTTCGAGGCGGCGCGAGACGAGCCTGCAAGCGAGCCGTGCCAGCTACGGAAGAAGTCATGAACTGCGGCATCATCTGTCGTGCAAAACCCAAGGAGCTGCAACCAGTCTGGCATCTCCCTCGATGGCCGAGAGGCTTACGTTGAAATCGATCCCTGGGAATGGGCCGGGCCAGTCACGTTTGAGGTGCGGGTGCGCTACAACACGTGTCTTGGCACTTTGGACTAGAGGCTGCCATGCAGAAGGAACAGTCCCTTTGAGAGATTCTGTTTTCGATGGCTCCTAGAGCGTGTCAAGGTATGCGCATCAAGCAGCTGTCCTTGCGCTTGGCACACTACTGGAGGATGGGCGAACCAATGATTTGTTTTCCATTATGAGCTACACAATGTTTGTGGTATCCTGTCTGCACCCGTTATGCACAAACAGCATTGGACTTGATCGCAGTACTCAGAATTTGGAAGGCAGGTTAGGATCAGACAAAAGCTATCTGTGGAAGAGAGGCCTACTCAGATAAACCGCGGAAGCTTGTTCGTTTTTTTCGCCTTAAGCCTGCAAGCAGTCAGCTCTGTTTGCAGAGGTTCGAGAAAGCCCTTTGCAGCTTTCCAGAGTATTGGCAGACCAGCCCATCTCGCTGGGTGAGTGGTTCCATATAGTCGCCACCTCTGAACCTGGTTCTACGAGACTGTACATCAACGGGGCGCTGGCCGGAAGCGTCCCTGAAGGATCGTCCCAGGTTGATTTCGAAACATAGAACCAAACGCCGGTGCTAAATGGCAATCTTACGGCTTACGAAGCATTCAGCAACAACAGCATTGGTTGCGGTTTAACCTTCCGAGCACAACGCAACTCGGGCTGACTTTTGCGGTTTTGTTCAGGGTTTGGTGCCTGTGCAGCAATGGCTGCAGCCCAATGCAGGAGTCAGAGCACAGAAATTGCTGCGCAATGCATTCCTTGGCCGCTCCGTGATGCCGGAGAACTTTATGGACCGCAGATTTTGAAGTTTGGGGGGCCCAGCAGCTGTGTGTTAGAAGCGAAGTAAGGGTGACTGCCTTGACTGGCAGGATGGAATTATTTCACATGTGCGCATTTGGCATGGGACCGCTTTGCCGCTCGGCATGGTGGAATTGCTGTACCAGGAATCGCTGCTGCAATGCTGAGCCTTGCAACTTTTCCACGTGTCAACGAAGTGTGCCAAAGTGCTCCTGTGGAGAAAGTCGGCCAAAGGTTTGCCGCAGCACCACCACTTTCAAGCCCTAAGCTGGCTAATGCCTCGCTGTATCTTACAAAAGATGTCGGCCAAAAAATTACGTGTGTCGGGAGTAAGCTGAGCATCGCTGAATTGTTGTCCACTCTGAACATCGTGAGTGTACTCACAGCACAGGATTCCACGATCGTACGGCGTACCGGTCACTTGTGACCACGTCACCTGAGTCACTTGTGACCACCTCATTTTGGGTCACTTGTGACCGCGTACGTGCTTCGAATCACAGCAGGGCCACACTTTGGGCCACCTGCCGAAAAAAAGGAATCGGTCACTTGTGACCGCGTTTTTGCTTGATATCATAGCAGGGCCACAGGATGAGCTGCTTGTCGCGTCAAGAATAGCGTCCCTGCCAAGGTGCTGCACAACCCTCCCCCCTAACCTTCCCCAACCAGCCCGTAAGAGTGGACATGGTTGTGATGCGCTGCGTGCAATAAGCGCTATTATGTTTCTGGCACGCCGTGATTGGGGGGTTCCAGGGCTGGTCCCGGGAAGTATCAGGTGGTCACATTCGAGTGGATGCTCTTGTGGTGGAGCTCGTGACACAACGTTGTTATGAGTCTCCGCCCACCCGCCCGCTCCACCCTCTCCCGCACATCAGGCGGTCACGTTCAAGTGTATGCTGTTGTGGTGTCGCTCGTGACACAACGTCGCTACTAGCCCCCGTCACCCCCCTTCCAAAAATAAAGAATAAACACTGAGCAAGCTGGTGTGTTGACTCCATGGACTGCAATCAAGGCCTGGAAGTTTCTGGGCCTTGTTTTGACTTGTGAAACATGTGCACGTCCCAGAAGGTTCTAGAGGGGCGTTTGAGAGGTCCCAGGGGTGGTCCAGGGAAGTATCAGGTGGTCACATTCAAGTGGGTGCTGTTGTGGTGGAGCTCGTGACATTAGCCCCCCCCTTGCACCCCCCGGTGGGTGCAGAGATGATGTGGTCACAAGCGACGGATGGCGTGGTCACAAGTGACCCAGAATGACGTGGTCACAAGTGACCCGAATCACGTTGTCACAAGTGACGGCGCTGCCCTATCGTACGGGGAGGGGCGTAGGCCCGCAGCTATTGGACAGCTGAGCGTGCGTGGCCCTCTTTTCGGCTTTCCACATATGCGGGGTTCTTGCAAAGTAGCCGGATAGCGCCCCGCGCTGCCCAGATGTGGTTCTACAGGAGCCAAGTTAATCGATTGGCAGCATGTGTGTGGCAGTGGTGTAAGATTCGGGAAGGCGCCGTGCCCAGCGCCGCTTCACAACTGTTCGAGGCCGTTGTAGCACGCAGTGAGTCCAAGATGGGTACAGTGTCGGATAATTGACTTTTCTTGTTTGTGTGTGAATGTGTGTGTGTCTGTATGTCCAGTGTATTTGTGTATGTATAAATATAGTATATATATATATATACACACATATTTCTGGAGAGTGCGTCAAAAACATATTGCTAAACTTATTTATTTAGAATATTTTTTTTGGGATCGCTGCTCCTTCTCCCTTAGCTTAGTACGATAAGCGCTTACATCTAGTACCCTACTTAGTCGATTTAACTGTACGCTAAATCTATCTCTCCGTATCAAGGATATCAACCAGAAAAAACCGGTGATTACTAGAATGTGTGATGTGAGCTTTGTACGAACCACACAAAACCGGGCTCTGAGGGTGCCGCTTTCTGTATAGAAACACTTATGTGTATATATATAGAGAGAGAGAGAGAGAGAGAGAGAGATAGAGAGAGAGAGAGAGAGAGAGAGAGAGAGACAGAGTAGCGAAGTTCCAGGACGACCCGAAGACCAACGACACCGAGCTCAAAAGCAACAATGACGATGACGGGGAGATCACCGGGGGCAGCCCCGAAGGCAAAGCAGAGATTGAGGCTGATGCGGCAAACAGTGCTGCAGCAAGGGCAGGCGTACTTCGACCTGAACCAACAGGGCAACCCTCGACGTTGACAATGAGGCAGAAGAGACGACTACAGCAACTCCTTTCGAGATGGGCAGGGCTATTCTTTACCCTTTTCGGAGGGAGCCGGGGAAGGACTAGGGTAAATTTTCCATCCTCCAGCGCGTCACGTACCCATTGTCTGTAATCCCGTCTAGAGATAGCTCGGTTGGCGTTGTATTTAGATTGTCGCGCAAGCATAGCGTTCGTGGACCTAAGGCATTGATGATTCCGTTTTCCCTCCGACGCACAGCGAGATTCGTGACCACTAGCCTGTGCTATGGTGTGGCGGTTAGCGCCGTTATGTAAGCTAAAAAAGTTGCGAAATAATTGTTTGGGGCGGCCGTGGTCCCCCGGCGTGCCTCTGGCGGCTCTCGCAGCACAAATGTGACTGTATAAATTGCGTGCTTTATTCCCATAATAGACGGAGTAGTGGCGAGTGCCCCGCCCGAAAAACCATAGAGAGAGGTGGGCGTTGCAGTAATGGTATTTGTGCACTGCCATTCCATTCTTGAGACAGATAGGTATCGAATGAAAGATTTCAGGACAGTATGAGTACTCTCTGTCAACTAGCGAGCAACTACAAAGTCGACACCAATGGTTTCCCCTCAAAGCATGCAGAAAGCGGTTGCGATTTTTTCTCGACACGAACCAAAAGTCCGTTGCTGCGTCTTGACGGCCCGTGGCAAAACAAGACGAACGAAAGGAAGACCCTAGCCTCTCAGAACCCTGAACCTGAACGGCAAAGGGGAGCCGAGGGCAAACGGGAAGAAAAGGCTGGCACAAATGGGGATTGACCCCACAGCTCGACGGTGGGCTTCTCTGGCCCTGCCGTAAAAGAGCGCTGCTCTTGCTACTGGCAATCTGTGATTTCCCCGAAGGGGTAGTGGCAATCAATGTTCTATTGGCAATCTGCTGCTCCCGCTGGGAGCTAATGGCAATCAATGTGCTCCTTGGGAGCCCACTAGGCATCATAATGGCAATCTGCAAAACATCGCTGCTTTGAGGGTATGAGGGCTGGCTTAGGAGGTCGAGGAAAAAGGGTGGTTGAAAGTTCGAGTAGGTTTGGGCCTGTTGGAAGTATACATTTATAGGCTTCAAGTAGGGCTGTGAAGGTCTCCGTGGACTGCTGAAAATGTGGCCCTGGGCCTGGGGTCAGTAGACCGAAACAACTTGTACCCAAGAGTATCTAGTGTCCTTGTGCTGGTGTTGAAGCATAGACCATGCTGTGCGCCATGCTAGCAGGTGCGCACCTCCTTCTGCTAATGCTAGCATCAAGGTTTCCATGATGTTGCCTTTGTTGACGTGGGCCCTCCATTGGACCGCTTGTACCTCCTGCGTGCTGATCTGCATTAGCGGCAAGATGTATTCCAGCAGTTTGACTAGCTGATCGTTGGGGGCCTGAAGTTGGGACTTCTTTGTGTCTCTGAGGACTCCATATACCGCGGCTATCTCTCCAAAAGACAGCGTCGAAATACAATGAACCATATCCTGCCGAAGTTCCCACGCCCTTGTTGTCAAAAGGGGGGTTGGCTTGGATGCAGGCTTTGAGGGTGGGGTCGTTGTCGAGGTACCATACGAATTCCTCAGCGAGGGTCTGAAAAAAATCTGTGGTAGTGCGCTTCCATGCTCCTTGCAATAGCCATTCTAGCAGAGGCTGGTTCCATGCTAGGTCTGGGGTGTTTTCCTGTTCCTGCTTGGCCTGTTCATAGGCTAGCCAAAGGGAAGAGGCAATCATAACTGGTTCGTACAGAGGGCCCCGCATATTGACGATGTGTTCCTCTGTGAGGGCCCAGCTAGGATTACTCCAAGGGAGTCTCGTGGGCCTGGGGGGGCATCAACCCATTGGACGGCGTGTTGCTGGTGCGTAAAAGAGCTAAAGGTTGTACCTTCGTAGGTTTGCTTCATTGCGGCGATGAATTTGGTTGTAACCTCAGGGGCCTGCATGATGGGGTCCAGATCAAACAGTATGCGGTCTAGCTGCAATACCATGCACTTGGTTGCTGTGGGAAGGGATGTCCAGGAGTCTTGGGCCTGCTTAGTGGACCAGTACTTGCGGTGTTCCTGGCAAAAGCTACAGTTCTGTGCAAAGCCCAGGGGTTTGTCACAGAGTTGTTGATCGTTGGTGGTACAAGGGCATATGAGGGTCTTCCAGGGGACCGTGTCCTTCCACGTGAAACCGGGTCACAGGGTGCTCCTTACACTTAGGGCAATCAATGCAAAAACCCAGGGCACAGGAGCAATGTTCGCAAATAAAGACCGGTTGGATGTGGCTGTGGCCTTTGCCTTTGTTGTGGTGGGGCTGTTGCTGTTGGGAGCCTTTGTTGGGGCCTCCGAATAAGGAGCCTGTAGCGGTTCTGGAGGGGGCCCAGCAACCTGAACCCCAGGAACCCCGACTATCATTGTTATCCTGGTCGTCGTCCTTCTTCCAGTTGGTTCTGTCGTCGTGATCTCTTTCCTTCCATTGGCCTTTGGCCTGGCCTTTGTCTTTAGGTTTCCGGTACTTATTGTAGTCAGACCATCCGGATTTCTGGGACCATCCTTGGCAAAAGGATCGGTGGCTGCTGCCTTTGCCCATCTGGGGAGTCCATTGGTCCTGGCGATCATTTCGGGTTTTAGTTTGGGGCTTACCTTTTCCGGCTCCATTTGCCCTAGGAGACCCTTTGCCGTAATCCTCAAAACCCTGGTCTAAGAAAGCCTGGGCCGTCAAGGCGGTCATGCCGCCAGCGCCTTGAAAAGGCAACATGGAGTGAGACTCAAGCGTAGAGGCCAAATCATCCGAAATGCGTACCGGCATCACCGTGTATGGGAAAGCCTGTGCGTGGGAGGCGGTGGTGAGGTCGAAGGCCTTGTCGTAGGAGGCGCGTTGCGCAGTCGTGTGATCAGAGGTGGCGCGCTTGAGTGCCTGTGCCAGAAATCAGGTATCCCGAAGTCTCCTCGAAAATTTGGCATGCCATCGTGTCAGGGCTGCGTCGTAAAATCTGTCGTGCACCAGGAGCAAGCATGAATAGCGGCGCGCAAAGTGCGGGTCAAGCGCGTAGATCACTTGCCCAATCAGTTGTTTGGGCTCCACCCCCTTAGCGGTCCAGATCTGCAGCGTCTGTCTCCAGGTCTGTAGCGAAGAGTGTGTATCGTCTCCGGTTTCGGCCACATAGAGCTCGGCGAGGACGTCAAGCAAAGCATAATATGGTTGCATAGCCAGTCTGTTTTCCAGTGGCTGGTCCTGCTCTATCCTGATCTTGTGGTCTTGCTGCTGGGGGTCGCGCCAGTATCGGCGACCTTGCCGCATCTGATCCCTAAACTGGGCTGCTTGCTGTTCAGTAAGAAACTCCAGGCGAATAAGCGAAGAAGCTGAAGAAACCATATGATTGTGCATTGCTGCCACCTGGTCCCATTGGAGACCAGCAGCTTGTAGGTAGTACCCAACATTGGCATCCAGAGTCTTCTTGTTGAAGATTGGCGGTAAATCCAGCAAAAGTATAGTTTTGTTGGCCTTTGCACGCTCCAGCACCTGCAGTTGGCTGGAGTGCCTGTCCAGGGTATATTGAGTCATCGCAAACTCATGTTGTGCCATCTTGTAAAATTGGTCGCAGCACATCTGTAGTTGATCCAGTGCGACTTCTGTTGCATGAGAAGCAACCCACAGCTACCCCAAGAACTCCGCATAGATCCCAAACCCCACGCCGATTACTTAGGAGTTGTTCTAACTCATAATTCAGCCGCCAAAGCGGGTTCTAAAAAGCACTATGCGCAGGCCTCACACGCGGCCAAATGTCTACACGACTTCTTTAGACACCCATCCATTACCATTAAGCGAAAGCTGCTAGTTCATTCCCAGATTGTGTTGGCCATCCTTCTGTATGGCTCGGAATCGCAAATGTATTTGCAGCCTGCCTGACCTCACCAAACTGAACAAGTTACACTACAAGGTCCTTAGACAGATCTTCAACATCAAAAGCTCCTTCTATCACAAAGTTTTGGAACCATCGGAGGCAGAATGCTCCAACGAATACTTATCCCAGCTTGCCTATGAGTACGTCCCCAAACTTTTATCTCCATCACAGAATATCATTTCTTCCCGGATCTCCTATCTCGGACATATCCCCAGACATGAAGATTCAATTGAACATATCTCCACCTACCAAGCAGCACATGCCTCTAGACGCCTCCATAAGAAAAGACCTGGCCACCTTCGCATACATTGGGCCGAATTAACTATGACACAAGCGTACCAACGCTATCAAATACTTTCCTCGAATTCCCCTATCCCCCGCCCCCACCAAATACACCATCATCCCACAGAGAGAGAGGTGCACGCAGAGGACGACACAGACGAGACGTTGTGGAGAAGGTACCGAAGTCAGCAGAAAGTGGAGTACCGGGACCACAGGCGAACCAAAAGGCGGCAAGACGCCCAACAACGAGACCAGAACCGCTGATAAGAGTGAGCGTGGCAGGGGCTTTTCCCCTTGTACATTTTCCTGCTTCAGTTGTTTCTAATTCGTCCGAGATCCCTTTCGTTTGCTGGGACAAAATCTGCGGGGGCATCCTCAGGATGGACTCGCCTTGCTCCAACTGAGCTATACTACCTTTGCTTTTGCCTGTGCCGCACGCTGGGCTGTACACTAGGACGGGCTGCTGAGCCAACCTCCCAATCCGATCCTAGCTCAAACGTGAGCTCCCTGAAACTTCGCCGTTACTTTCCATAGGGGCTGTTGCCCCTCATCTTTTCAGGACGCTTGCACTTGTCGTGGCATCTTTTCACGCTTTGTTGCAATAATGCTGATCCCGCAATCTCAACCACAAAGTCTCATGCAAGGGGAACAACCCCGAATCAGCAATCTCGATCGTGTTCTAATCTTGAGCTGCCCTTCTTTCGTACGAGCTGGTATTTCTGGCTGTCCCGAGTGCAGTTGCTGAGTGCAGAGACTTATATTTTGAACATTCGACAGCCGATGGTTGGGAATTGCCTTTTTTCTCCTCCGCAACAGTCGGGGGCGCACACGCGCGCGATGTGGGGGTAACACCCCTGCATCACAACCCTGGCGAAAGAAAGACAGAGTAGCCATTTTGGCTCAAGGTGCCTACATCATCGACTCCATCATCCAGTTCGTCGAGCGTCTCAAGCGGGTGGGCGGGGGGGAAACGCTCCGACTGTGCCCCGGAGTGTGGATCCTCCCCCACTTGCGAAAGTACCTAGTCCTCGTCCGGGGGGGTGTGAGCCATTGTCAGGCAAGCTCAATTCAAAGTTCGTGACACTACGTCGACCTACTAAAGGGGGGCAGTGCAAGAACCTCAACTCGGACCCTTCTGCAGACTGTGGGTTTTTCCTCCACACGTTTGTTGCTTTCACAGTGGTCCCGGAACCGCACCTCCCAGAGTACTTGTTCACTGGGCGCGGGACGGGGAGATCTACATGATTGAGTTATTGGCATGAAGGGCGACTTCGTGAACTTCGGGGGATGGCCATGAAAGAGCCGAGCGGTATCTGCCGCATCCGCTGTGAAGGTGGGGGGGGCACGCCAACCTGGCTTCCGAAAGAAATCAGGGAGATGAAGGCTACAGCAGGGGAATGACCCAATGCAGGGAAAAGTGTTGCGATGGAGATGGACGCCGAGTGAGAGGGCCATGTAAAGTTGCACTGGTGCCGTGACACTTCGTTTGTGTTTTGCTTTGCCTTGGGGTGTGAATTCTTTAAACAAGACCGGGGGACAACTCCTCTCGATCCTTCTCGGGCAAACTCATTCAACCAGAGGCCCAACCTGGCCTGCAATCTTAGTTTCTTTTCACACACTGTCTTGAGGCAGCTGTTGATACATGAATTCGGGGGAAATAGAAGGCTCTAATTTAACTTTCAATCCGTCCTTGAGAACTCTAGTGACTCTAGTGATCCCTGCTTACAAACAGCGGGGTGACGATGCAAGCTTTTCCTTCTACCCCTACACAGTGCTGACGCATTGATTTTGCAGGGGGGCCAGCTGGAGCACCATGTAGTTTGCTTGAACACTCGCACTAAACTCAGGGGGGGGAACACCCAACTCGGCCCACGCTGCTTCTAGCATGCTTCCTAAAGTTCGTCCTTTGAGCGCTGGCCGAGGGGGGAACCCCAAGTTGCTGTATAGCTGAGCCCATGCTGGAGAAAACCCGGCAGGGAAGCAAAGGACCGCCCGTGAATTGCGGGTGTGCGAGCGCGCACGGGGGGAGGGCCCTGGACGCTGGCCCGACCTCCACGCCCGGTAGAGCGAGAGAGAGAGAGACAGAGAGAGAGAGAGAGGGAGCCACCTCATGCGGCCGGGGGGCCTGACCAGCCTCCCAAGCCCTGCAGAAGAAGACAGAGCCAGGACAGTGCCCTCTGTACATATACGGGTGCCTCTAACAGTAAATGGAGGGCTCTCTTTACAAAAGCAGAGATTGGTAGAATGCTACATACTTGAACTCTTATTTGTGTGATATTGAACACTTACTTCTGGGACACTGAACACTTATTTCTGAGATAGTGAGCACTTGTGTCCGGGATATTGATCAGCTACGACCCACACCGGGCCCCGGTTGGGTCAGAAATATCACTGACTCTTATTGAGTCCTCTTGTCACCTGAAGCCCAGAGTCATCGAATGATATGCTGAAGTCGATCATGGCAGCAATTAGCTGCTCAGCTATATCACTATATCACCCAACAAACTGTTCAGGTACCACTCCAAATAGCTGTTCAGCTACCACCCAACTAACTGTTCAGCTACCACTAGCTACCACCCAATTAATTGTTCAATTACCGCCTCGTACCACCTAGTTAACTGTTCAGCTACCATCCAATTAACTGTTCAACTACCACCGAATTAATGGTTCAACTACTGCACAATTAACTGTTCAGCTACCACCCAACTAACTGTTCAGTTAACCATGTAAAGAGTTACCGTTCGAGGAAGCCCCTAATATCTAACTGTATATGAGCACATATGTATCTATTTGTCTATCTGTCTATCTGTCCTATCTTTGTATATCTATCAATTTGTTTGTGTTTGTGTATTTGTTCGCCAGGGGTTTCGAGTTTAGGGTTTAAGGCCTCGCGGCCGAATGTCCGACATTGCATGTTTCGGGCATAAGATGGGCACGTGCTGTTCCAGAGGATTTGCTTTTTGGAGCGAGCTTTTTTCCGTTCCAGGGTTCTGGAGGGAAGCTCGAGCTCTGGCTGTTTGCGCCACGGCCTCGGACTGTGCTGAGCTCTGCTGAGCTCTGCCGCACGCCAAAAGTGCAGTGGGGTTTGGGAAACGTTTTGCAAAAGGCAACTGCAACGCTGGGTGTGTCAGCCTTCCGCTTCTTGTCGTTGGGTTCGTTGGTTTCAGCTAGCCGCGCGGTCTTGCCAGGCATATCTACTCGCCTGCACCATTCAGGTGCATGCCGAGCTCTCAGAGGAGTCAGAAGCTGACTTCTGTCTTGCGGACAGGTCTCCTTCATTTTCTGGTGTGGGGCTGAGTGGGATGTCCAAGCCAGAGAACGGCAGAGCTCGGCTGCGACATGTCAGATTGCCACTGAGGGCTCTTGCCCTTCAGGCAGGCCCAAGCACTCGGGTTTGTCGGTTGGAGGGTACGGTACCCGAAGTTGGGTGCTGTCCAGAAGCTGCGGGGATAATACCCTCACGTTACGCAAGATCTATATACTCTTCGAACAGGATATGAAGTCGCCGCCGAAGCTGCTGCAGTCCTGCAGCAGTTGATGTTGCGTCGCAGGCTTGCCAGGGGCTGTGCCACCAGACGGATGGCGGAAGCTGAAACTTCTGCTGGCAAAGGCAGCGGATGTGTTCCTGCTTCAGTTTCGAAGATGTTCAAGGATCTGTTGATGCAGTTGTCGGGGAGCATTGAGCCCAAGCTACTTGAGGCATTGCCCAGGTGCTCCCCAAACACATTCCATCTGTTCCCCCCTGTGACCTTTCTGCAGAGCACTCGGCAGCATCAAGGTGAGCTCACGGTGGCCTCGATCGAGAGTCCATGGAACATGATAACCCGAGTACATACGTGATGTAGAGAGCCAGCGGCATCAGCGGCATGGCGACGGTGTCCTTCCCCTATGCAACGCTTTGCGTCCAGGGCATCAAGGCACACTCGCAAACACTTCCGTGTTCTAGGAATTCCGGTGTGTGAGTGTGTGTGTGTGTGCGCGCAAGTGTGCAACCCTGAGAGCATATGGATTCTTCTCAAAGTGCAAGGGGATTGCACAGGGCTGTGGAGCTCCATCTAGCAAAGCTCTACACTGTCTTGAGGTTGTCACCGGGGTCGCGTGGCGACGTAGTTACGTTCTGTTTGTAAGCGATATAGCGCCGAGCCCTGTGAAACCCACGCTTTCTTAGTGTTGTCTGGAAGGTGGCGTAAGCCCAGGACCCCATGAACAAAAGCCTGATTAATAAATCTAGACCTGCTACTGTCTCCGGGGAGCTTCCATTTGTGCGTGCGCGTGTGCGTGTGTGGACAGGACGGGGTCACCAGTGAGGCACTGGAAGCTCAGTTTGAGCACTACGGGCGCGCCCGGGGCTCAGCGGTGTTGAAGCTCTTTGTGTCCATTGCCTGTTGTTTTGGAGAGGTGCGCAATGTTAACCTGGCGCAGAACAAGAACATGAAGGGGGTTCACTGCTGCATCTTCAGCAGAGATCCGCGATCACAGCCAGTGCAGGTTCCTGATACGCGCATTGCGCTGGTGGAATTTGCCCGCCGGGACGACGCGCGGAAGGCAATGCAGGCCATGCTGAGACGGCCGCAGCAGCTCGATAGGTGCCTCCTTTGACATGCGTTCAGGGACCTGCATTCGTCGTTGATTTTTTGGGCTTCGTTTTCCTCGCACAAAGAGAATGCAGCCTCGCAGACTGCAGCCGCATCCTACATGGTTGCAACACAGGAGCTCAATGGGCGCAATGTGCAGGGCAAATGCGTGATGATCAGGACTGCCTCATGCTGCAAAAGCAAGCAGTTGTCGAACTCTCTTCAATGGCAGGTTCGCAAGGAGCGCACCGGGAATGCGATCAGCTGCGCCGGCTGTGCGGCGTGGTGTGCCAGTGTGCAGCCAAGAAATGCACGCCTGTTGCGTCGGTTCAAGGCAGAAGCAACCTGTGGTTTGTGCGGATATGCCCAGGAGCCGATTCCGCAGACAGCTAGCCACGAGCGTCTACTTGCAGCTAAGCGTGGACCACAGAGCCCCCAGATGCTCGTTGGAGAATTTGGAGATTGCTGGCTATCGTGGTGGGTGTGTGCCGGTCGAGGTTCCGGCCAGCCGACAGGACATGGGCATTGTGGTATCAAAGGATGTGCGGGTTGTCGGCGCGCATCGTCCTCGGCTTGTTGCTGGAGCAATTCAGCTTATTGCAGTCATGGTGTGACATTGGTGCGACACCGTACAACTCACAATCTGCGACAACTTCCTTGGGCACAGGAGCTGCAGCCGGAGCCGCGGCCGGAGCCGAAGCCGGAGCCGCAGCCGCAGCCGCAGCCGCACGCCCCGTGGCAAGAGCCGCGGCAGAGGCGAGCCGTTCAGAGTTTCAGCCGTGTGGTCCTACGACAACGTTGTAACGAAAGAGAGTTGCATCAACGGCTGAGAGAAGTTCTGTCCAAGCTCAACTCCAGCATGATGTATGCGGGCAGTGAGAGAGGCCATTGTGTTGGGAAATTTGCACCCTGCAGGCAAGAAAAGCAAGAGTGGTGTCGGGTGCTTAGCAGTCATCGGGACATCCCGATTTGCAAAGCTCAGTTGCAGTGCATTCGTGCGCTCGTGTGCAGGTAGATAAAGGGCGAAGCAGAAGCCGCCGCAGAAGGAGAGCCAGAGTCAGAGGCGACGACTTGGACGTGGTTCGGTGTTGGCGAGAGGAGTCGGAGCCCTGTGCGGCGACAGCGCAGCGTGAGTCCCCAAAGGCTGGAGACGTTTGAAAAGATGCAACCCGATGCAAAACGGTGGAAACGGAGTTGTCGCGATCAGGAGCCGCAGCGCCAGCCGCTGGCGGCCAGAAGAGTTCAGCTCTCCCGAGCCCACGGAGCCCACTCGGAGGGCTCGCAGGGCCCGCACCCCTGCTCGAGGCCCGTTCCATGCCAGCAGATGGAGGCTTTGCTCTGCGAAGCTTCAGCCAGGCTCAAAGCGCTGCCGCACCGAGAGTCGTAGCCGAAGTCGAAAGCGGCGCTGAGTCAGTGAAGAGAAGCGTGTTCTCTTCTAGATGCCGATTTGGACGGGGCGACTTTGTTGGACATGAAGACACCCCACGAGCATCCGTCTTTGCCGCCAGATCAGCAAGGATGTCGGTCTCCGTAGTTTCACCACGAGCAAAACTCATGCGAACCGTTTGAAAAAAAAAAGCAGGGGGTGAAGATGACACCCGCTCCTTTGCATCCACCCTTGTTCTCCCTCGACCTGGGCATGTTCCAGGACAGACGAAGCTACGGAAGCATTACTTCGGGGATATCTACCGACAAGGTGCGGGCTGTTAAGCGGCTAGGTCTGACTCAAGGCGGCAGAAGACATGTGTGTGCTCAAAGCGCAAATCGAGTCGACATCTTCTGTCCCAGCTCTAGGAAACTATGTTCCTCTTCACCGTGAGCTCTTCGAGAATCCTCGAGAGAACTTGAAGAGGCAAGCCGTGGCGTCGTGCTTGCCTTAGCACTTTGGCAACAGTGCTTCTGAAGGTGGCTGGCGCCAGCTTTCGTCGCTGCCGTCTCGGCGGGAGGCGGTCTAAAGGAGGCACTCACGCACACGCGGTGTTGGAGGGCCCCTCCACTTCTGGAGCCGACACCGTGAGGCGCTGCGAGAAGATGCTCCCGGCATCTATTCCTTTGAGCTTTTCAACTCAGAGTCGGCCCGGCATGCAGCAAAAGTAGCAGGCTGCTGATGCAGGCAGTGGTAGTGTTCCTTCTGTTTTCTGAGTTTGTGGTGAGTTGCACACGGTTGGGCCAGGTTCTGTGAAAAGCTGCTGGAGGCGTGGCTTCGTTCGGGCGATGTCGTGACTGCCGCACAATTGTACCTCAAAAGCTTCGCATGTTTCTGTGTCCTCTCTAGCCGCTAGCCAAGACCTGGAAGTTCTCACATCTCATGAACGTGCCGCGTGCCGCTCCACACTGCTGAGTGTGGGAAGCCATGAGAGCCATGTTAACTGTTACCGTCGCCATGCTGCTGATGCAGAATTTTTGTGTTTTGAGAGTCCTGTACCGTACCAATCGAAACGTGAATCATCTCAGGGTTCGGCAGCGATGTCAGGGTCGGGTGTCGCTGCGCAGGAGGTGACCCACGCTCAGCAGACCGCCCGCGAGGCCTTTCACGATCCGAATGCAGTGGCATGGGCAGTGCTAGTGAGACTATGCGAAGCTTCACTCGGGGGTGGGGGTGGACTGAGTCAGACACGCGGCCCGGGCCGGGCCCTTGTGCAGGCATTGGATCGGCCTAACGGCATGAACAGGTGCCCCACGGCCCACCCTGTGGTGTGTTCTTTGCACGGGACATCTCTGGTATGACAGATGATCTGCCAGGTATGGTGTGGTTCTCAATCAACTCGGTGCGGGCCTCCAAACCACTGATGGTGATGCCCGTCCGGCAAAACAGCTCGGGAGCCTTTGCAGATCTCATTTGACGTTCCTGCGAGAAATGGACCGAGACCGAGGTTTGGAGCCACTCATCACCGAGCTTCAGCAGGACAAGACCTGCATTGTTCAGTAGCTCCATTGAGGCCTGTCCTGCAGTCGTGCCCGTTCAGCTCGTGCAGTGGGACAAACGCGTGTTCAGTAACAACCGTGACCGGCACCCACCCTCGCGACCTTAGTTTTCGGCGGCGGTCGGACCTTGGCCTTAGCGCACCAGCAGCACTTCAAACCAAACGACGAAGAAAAGGAATCGACCGTACCTTCTGGGGTCTGGGTCTATGGAGTGCGGCGGTGGTTGAAAAATCGCCCCTCAAAGGAGTATCTCATGCCGCTGATGATGGCTTTGTATCCACAAGAAGCTGATGGGTGTCGCGATCATCATTGTTTCATCGTGAGGCTGAGGGGCTGGAGCCACATTGAGACTGCTCCGAAAGTCCGATCCCAAAGACTTCTGCAGGTACAAGGCTGGTGAAGACGTGGGCCTGGACATGCATGAGGATGATGCCGATGTCACCCTCAACGTATGCCTTGGAAGAGTGAACCCGACACGTTTTGTCCATCATCTGGTAACTCGTGTCTGTGTTGGCTTGCATTTGCAGGAGTTTTCTGGCGCGACTTTAACTTTCTGTGGATTGGTCGCTGATGCGAATCACCGAAAGATGCAGTACACCTACTCGCACGAGAAGGCGCTGTTTGGCTCCTCGGATGCTGCCGACTCGATTCTACCAACAAAACACAGGGCCGCGCGGTCCTTCACCTAGGGCGACAGCGTCACGGCGCTGCGGCTCAGACCGACCGAATGTCCAAGCTGCACATGGCTTCCCCATAGCTAAACCAGCGCTGCCAACACGCAGGTGCAGATGACATCGCGTCGGGAGAGCGGGTGAACTTCATCCTCTGGTCCGTCAGTGAGAAGTACCGTTCGTCGGAGGTTGCCAGCCCTTCAGCTTTGCTTAGCTTGCAGGGTTTTACAGACGTGCCAGGCCTATCAGAACCACCGGCTGCGAAGCTCATCCGCGGATCCTCCGGACAGAATGCACGCCACCCAAAAGGACCATGGCCAGGCACAGATTGGTCACTTGACGTGCTGTTCTCGGCTCGGCTTCTAAGTTGCTTGTCCTACACGCACGATCGCGACTACACCAAATTCCTTCCTAAGCCAACGAAGGCGCAGGCAGCGATCAGCGCCGTTCTGCTCGCACGTCGAATCAACAAGGCATCTGTGTTGTCCTTGGATGAGGCCATCTCGCGAGGGGTTATGCTGGACGTGGTGGAGCGAAGACTAGAGGTTTACAATCGGCCAGTGTCTAGGGCTTAAGCCTGCTCACTTCCTGATCACAGAAGCTGAAGTGCTGGAAACGTTTGCTTGCAGTCAGGCTGGACCTCTCTCGCCCGATCGACGAGATCAACTCCGCCATGCACCTACATGCTTCGTGCATCTTTGTGCTTTGAATGCGAACGCCGACATGCAAAGTGCAGCGGGATTGGTCAGGTGCCTAGCGTTTGCTTGTTCCTGGAGGGTCTGCCTCCGTACAGGCACCTCATCCAGCACAGCAACTGCAACCTTGTCGGTCGGTTCAGTGCAGGCAGCATCAGCTTTTCCAATCACTCATGGAAATCGCAGAGGAGGCACCAGGAAGGCAATCACACTGCATTCTGAAAGCAAGATTTTGTTTGGGAGGTGCATGACTCCGTTGGCAAGCAGGACGGAGAAGTTGCGTTCTCGGAATCTCGCACTGTGTGATGGCAAACATGTCAAGACCAGTTTAGGTGCCCTCCATTCTGTTCTTTGTGGCGGTGCAGCCGTCGGGTGCCGTGCCACAGGCATGGACGAGTGCAAGTGTGAGTTGCGCTTTAATCGTGCATCTCGAGATCAGGTTCGAGAGCTTTGTGCTGTGACTGCCAGCCCAGCGCTTGCCATCCTGGATGTGGACAAAGAAAAGCGCTATCGCTGGGAGTCTGACAAGGAGAATGCACCGGGAATAAGCGATGCGCACTCAACGCGATCTTCACATCTTTACAGAATACATACAAAAAAATACATTGGCTGCAGTGCTGGGAGGACTTAGAGGCTCCTGTTCTACGAGACTTTGTTCGCGAATTCCGCGATGGTAAGCTGAAGGCTCGACACCGATTCTCACAGCACGAGGTGTCAACAGAAGTAACTGCATAGGCAGAGTCTCGCACCCAGGCCGAAGTCATCGGGAGGCCGGACAGCTACGACATGTCACATCATGTCACAATGTGTGCAAAGTGCAAGCCTGCCGCCTTTTCTCTGCTGTGCAGTCCGGAAGCCGAGCCGCCTGCTGAGCCCATGGAGGCCGCGCCAGTGGAGGCCCTTTGAGCATCCTACGGCGTAACGGCGAGATGCATCCAAGTCGAGGAACACCACCTGGCCACATTGTAAGCACGTTTTTTCAAGTAGCTATGATGAAGATGAACAGCCTAGTTGACGCAATCGGGACTTGTGCATGAAAGCCCTAGGCCCCGTCGGGGCCTTCCGCCAGCACCTCCTCTACGGGATCTCGGTCACCTACCGAGGCCTCTGCTGTTGATGTGTGGTCTCGTGGGTTCGTTGCGGGTTTACGTAGGATGATGGCAAGGATGAGCCACATAGAGGGACAGACGTGCCCTGACAAAGGCGCCCAGAACGAGCTGCAATCTGCTGTGATGTGACGACAGACGGACATCCTTGTTGGCACTGAGTGGCCTGAACTTGGGTGGTTGTTGAGGGATTCTGTCGGCGTTCGTAGCGCCACAGCAAAATACATGGACGAATCCCTCACAGCAAGCCAGTTGAGTAGCCTGTACATAGGAGGACAGGATGTTGCTGCAGAGGTCTCTGTCTCGAAGTCAAACCCATATCTCAGACTTGTTATCCTCTGTGCAACAGCACTCCCCAACTCTTGACTGCCAAGGAGGATCTTGTTTAAGAAAGCCTGCTCGCGCTGCCATGTGGATATCTCCACGCAATGATTCCATGTCCTGCCGTTCTCAATACCTGCTGCAGCCTACAGACTGGTCATCCTCATGGTAGAGTTGTAACCCCCGCTACGCAAGCCGAGTCACTGTTATAGCTTACTTGGTCACAACATTCAGCGGCTTGCCGAGTGAGATTTGCAGGATCACTTCGTGGACATGCAAAGATTCGGGGCGGAAGGGGGGGATGGGGAGTGCGAGGTTTGCAAGGGTCGGTAGCATTCAGTGGCCGTGAGGGCTTCAACTCCGCTCCAAAGTAGAATGGAGGATGAACCCTGTGAGCCATGTTGCGCGATTCGTTGGATGCTGGCTTCCACACACAGGTGCTTCAGCTTCCGTGCACCGCAGAAATGTTTCAAAGGTCAACCCGCTTGGGGCTCTCCTTTTTTTACAGTGAAGGGTTAGGTCTGGTGAGGTGCAGATCAGAGATCAAACCAGCAGGACAGGCTGGGCTTGCGTGAGCTTCCAGCGCAGAAACTCTGAAGGATCTCGCGGGTGCGCCTCCAGCACATCTGTGTTGCCACTTTGCAACACCTCTTGGTTGGCAAGAGAACCGATGGACCCTGCATGTGGTTGGGGAGGCTAATTCTGCCGGGAGCGAGGTACAAGCGGTTGCTTTGGAAGCCTGAATTTCCGTCTGACCTGCCACCAGCGCCATTGCCCAAGTACTGCGGCAATATGAAAGACGTTTTGCGCTGCCCTTTTGCTCAGGCTTCGGCAGAATGCCGCCATCCTTCGTCATGCCGCGCCCGAGGCGCTTCGGCTCTTCCCTGTGCGAAGAGATATGGAACACGAAAGCTTAGGGCTTAGGAGTGTGTAATTGTGAAAGTGCGAGACGACGAGGTCTCCCCTCACAAAGCCCTGTTCACCATACATGCTTCGTTCCCGGTCCTCGGCGCTTTGCAACTATAACGTCTTGGGCTTTCAATGAGACAAGGCTTCCCAGAGAATCTGGGAGATTGCTCTGGATCTATGTGCACGGGGAGCAAGCTTCCAAGAGGAATGGAGAGATTGATGAGGACGGCATGCGACGTGATATTTTTGCACAAGCCGAGGCAGTTAATGACTTAGCTGCCAACATCATCTACAGCGGGATGGCTCAGATCGCTGCATTCTGCTGGTATTTCAGTGCTTTTGACACTGAATAGGAGCTCTGGCGGCGTTGGATTGCACAGACTGGAACGAGTACCGGAGGAGACAGGAGAGCCAATGAGCACTGAACTCAGGGTTGCTAAGCCAGCTGGTTCTGACAGGAAGAGTTCCGGCAAGATTTGTTCACAGCGTGCTCCAACCTCTTTGAGGTGCATCATGTGCATGCAGGCAGGCTACCCGATCTACCGGACGTGTAAGATGGGCACATGAATCCCTCGGTCCACTGCAGAGGTGCAGAGTGCATTTTCGGGGTCTTAAACGAGACCACGATGAGGCCAGTGCTCCATCGGTCGCCTGCCAGTGGATTGCAGAACTGCACAGCCTCAGGTCCATCTCACCTGTAATGAAGACCCCCAAGCGCCAGAAGCTTCGAGATCTTGTGGTGGACATCATTGAGGCGATATCAGCAGCATGAAATTGATAAGAAATGGATGAGGCGTTTGTTGAAGCCTGCTTCAGGAGTGGGTGCTGCTGCACCAGGACTCCTTCAGCCGCATCAATGGCAGCAAGCTCCTGGATGTGGTCGGAACTGTCCCCAGACAAAAGTCTGACGGCGAGTGGCAGCTAGTCATTGTGTTACTTGGCTCTTTTGGTGCACTTTTCAGCTTGAATGCTGCGGCTTCAAGGCCCCGCTGCCTTCATCCAGCTCATTCCACGGTTTGGCATCAGCCGAGACCCTGGACTACAAACTGACAACCTGGCTGCCCTGGCTACTTTCCCATGCCTCGGCCTTGGTCAGGCCCCAGAAGCCTCACGCCAGACGATCTGGAAGTCTTAATGTACCACTTGACCGAGGCACCCTTCTCGTCCTCGGTGTCTTAGAGTCTTCCCAGCTCAGAATTGGAATTGTTGCCGCGCAGGAGGCCCGGGACCTCTTTGGCGTGATCCGCATCGGGCTCTCCTTCTTGCCCGTGGTGCGCCAAAATGAGTAGCTGCAAGACTTGTTCGCGGGTAAACTGCATCAAGTTGGGGATAGGAAAAAGCCAGTAGGTCGTGTTGCGCAGGAGTCACTGAACGAATCTCTTGGAGGGTCCAGCCGCTGCCCTGGTGGATTCTTGAGTTCAAGTGTCGCAGGAGGCTTTTCCGTGTTCTTGTAATTCGCGCGTGAGTTGCTGAAGGGTCCCACAGAGCAAGTGCTAAGTCTGCTAAGAGCATCGATTGAGGGCGCTCCCCGAGGCTGGTCCTTGAGGAGGGTGCTGAAAGTCATAGAGGGCCGGCAAAGTACTTGCCCCAGAAACTGAAGCAGAGGGGGTCTTGCAGAAGAGGGCTCCGGAACATGCCTTTTCAAGGTGAGCATGGACTTCGATTCTTCCTTGCTCATCTTGAGCCGATCTCCTTGCTGTTGCAGGCTGCCGCAGCCGAAGTGGAAACATGCACTTGCGTTTAGCCCACGTCAGGCGCTGGCAGCTTTACGGGAGCGAGACTTGGACACAGGCCTGTCGCAATCTCAGCTTTTTGGGTAGGCGGCAGCCAATTGCCAGTCATGAGTCCGGCATGACTCGCGGGGGCTGCGTTGGCACTTGCAGGTCGCGCAACCCCTGGTCCTACTCAACCAGCCTCGTTGTCGAGGCTTTGTTTGTACCGAGAGCCTGCACAAATCCGCATCCGTGGGGCAGGGACCCAAATATTCTTGTGTCCTTGGCAGGCCGATGTTCGTTCTGGAAAGCCTCTATTGCCGGTGCCCCAGCGCCCATGATGCCGTCGCTTCTGCGGAAGTCTTGGGACGTCGGAGCCGTGTTGCCAAGGCCGAAGCTGCCGCACATCTGGCCGATGCGACCTCCTCCTCTGCTGCCTCCTCCGAGCAAGGCTCCGATCGACGAGGCTCGTGGACTCCGACGTGTTGGTTTCATCGTTGCCGGATCTATCGTTGAAAAAAGCATGAGCCTGGAGGACGAAGAGATACCCCGGAAGCAGAGGATGTGGTTGACAGCCATCTACTTAGACATCGTTCTGTTTCCGAACGCAGGATGACTGTGCCCCAAAGCTAAGCCCCTGCCATCCGCCCGAGACAGCAGCACGGTATTTCCAAAGCCGCTTAGCATTCAACCGATCTGATTCGTTGTTGAAGTTCTGGAGGATGGGGAGCTGATGCCCTTATCTATTTCACGTCGACGACCCAAGCCTCTGGCAGGGTTGGTGGTGCGCCCAGGTAGTTTTCAGCAATGGCACGTAGCAAGTGGCTGCACTCACTCCAAGTTATATGTTCCGAAGGCTCCGCCCTCTCGCATGCGCGATACTTCCTGGCCGCAGTTGGCCTTCGATCCGGTGCGGGCTTTGCCGCTTCGAGCTGCACACTGCGCTGGGTTTCACAAGTTCATGAGGTTGATGCCTTGTCCGAGGATTTGGGTGTCCAGCGCCCAGTACATCCGAGTATGCACGGATGTTTTTCACAGAGTTTCCTTTACTTCAGGAGAGGAGTCACAGCAGCGACCTGCTCTCAGTCGTTGGAGGAGATGGCTGCCACAGCACCGCGCAGCCGTCAGTGAAGTGAGGTGAATGCTTACAGCATATTGGCCGGTGAGGCGGATGATGCCGAGAACCCAGATCTCACGAGCATGGTGAACCCCAGAAGGATTCCCATAGTAGCAAGAAGCAGTTTTCGGTGCATAGTAGTAGTAAGCAAAGAGTAGGAACATGCTGATCCGGGTCCTTATCCCAGGTTTCGCGTCCACACAGGAGTCCCTTGATGATAGAGTTTCATCAAGTGTATTAGCCGCTGACTGGTCATTGCAGGCGCGGGAGATGGCACCAACCTGGTTAGACCGTATTCTGATCGTGTTATATCGTGTTTCTGGTTCTGAGGCTTTGGAGTTGTGGGCACCTGCCTCAGGATGCAGATGCGTTGTCCGAGCACTGGGCCCTGAGCCCCGTCGGCCCCCGCCGTCCCCTGCAAGGGCGGCGCTGCCCCTGCAAAAAGAGACCGGGCTGGTGGGCTGGTGGAGGAGCGGTCCTTGCTTGTGGCTGCGCAGGTTATGAGCTTTGGAGCTCGTCATTGACTCGTACTTGGAGACCTAGTTTTCGTCTTTGGCATCCTTGTCGAATCTGTTTTCTGCGTTTCGTCCCACGCTGTTCTTTCTTTGTTGCTTTCCACTCCTTTCTTTGTCCCTTTTTCGGCTCAGTTCCCGGCACGAACACAGCCTCAAAGTGTGTCCCTTCTAGGACCCTCCGCTAAAGATCGAATAGTCTGTGCAAGGCTGTAGACTTTTCGAGTGTGTTTCGAAGAGGCCAAACGGGTAAACATGTCAATGAATCACGATGAGGGCTCCTCGACGAACGCGACCAGCTTACTTGATTTCACTGGAGCTGCTGGCCAGAGAACAACATGCAAGCAACGAGCAAGAAGCAGTGATAGCAGTGTCGAGCTGATGCTCGGATGAATGCTCTAGTAAGCAGCTCTCAACTGCCAGGGCTTGCCGAGTCCCCTGGCCGAGCTCCCACTCGATGCCATCCACTTTGTGGATTCCGCACAGGGCCTGTCGCACGTGCCGGACCCGGAAGCCCCATAAGCCGAGCGGACCATGAAGCCGAGTCGTGGATTTTCTCGGGCTTGCGAGGTGCTCACCTTCCTTCAGCAGGCAGTCAGAGTCAGAAAGCTCGATGTCACCGGCTTTGCCACCATCTTGTGAAAGGGTTGGCCCAACAGAGCCGTAGAGAGACGTCTCGGTGCTGGTCGTATTGGCTCTGTCTGTCAATTAACGGAATATTGACAGGCTGCACCAGCCTACGTTGGAATCGATCTCGAGTGGTCTGATCCACAGCCGGATCCCGAGGCAACGACGTTGGGTCTTTCAATGTCACAGATGTCAGATTTGCGGACTTCAAGGCCTGTGTCCATCATCCAGATAGCAACGCCTGAAGCCGAGTCAGAAAAGTTATGTTTCAATGGGCAGCGATTTTCACGGCCATACCTGGGCAGCTCCTTTGCCAGGCCAAGCCGTGCTTTCGTCCTGGATTGCGTGAACCGGACGTCTGAGAGCCAAGCTTCAGCTCATGGTTTGATTGGGGCCTTCTCCGCGAAAGTTTGTCTTGTGCACTTCTCGGTTCGCGACGTCCTAGGATCTTCGGTCAGCGCGTTGAGCACAAATATGACTGGGCACATCTGCTAAATCCATGCTGCAAATCTGCTCCCTAACGAGGCCGCTCTACATGTCGGCGTGGTGCCCCAGCATCCTTCCGTTGCTTAAGCTTGACTCCATCCGGTTCTGGAAGGTTCTGCACTGTGTTATGGATTACGTCATGAAGCTTGAAGCCTACTGCTCTTCTTTTCCTGTTGTGCGACCTTTGCTCCCGCGCTTGTAAGGCGGGAAGAGATGACCAAGCTCTTCTTCGGATTTCCGCATGTTCCGACCTCGTCGTCGCCTGCGTCACCATGGGATTTGCAGCCTGTCCAGGACCTTATCCGACTGAACATGCTCTTCGGCCCGTACGGTCGAAGCTTCAGCGGCAAGGACTACCTCGCAAGCGTGCCCTCAATGCTCGCAACACCTCCTGGACAGTCCTGATGCGAAGTATTTCTGAGGTACTGGACCTCTATACGCAGCGGGTTCGGAGGGTGCAGGTAACTAATCCTCGCGCGGAGGCCAGACCTTTGAATGTCGATGCCGGGGTTTTGGCTTCGTTCGCCCTGTGCAGGACACCCCGCTTGGACGGGAGAGCCTGATGGGTGAAGCTTTGCAGGTGCCACCGCTCCTGCATTTTTGAAAACTCACCGCAGCACCAGCAGTCTCGGAGGTGGATGACTTTTCGAAGATAGCAGAGATCGGCGAGCATCCCCTGCCACCGTATCCTATCCAGGAGCCAGCGCGCAGCTGATGGCATCTTTCGCAGCGCAGATGGATTGCGCAAGTACGGGAACTCCGGTGCGAGGAGCTCTCGGAGCAGGTTTTCATCGTGGGAGGCCACCAGTCTCTGTCTCGCATGGCCTGGGTCCCAGCTGCCTGCCGCATGGCCGCAGCTTGCAGCCGTATCGTCGTGGACCCCCTTCACTGATTTCGGGATCTTGATGCGGCTGACCTTGGGTCGCAGCTTGCAGGTGGAGAAGTATCTGGGCGAGACCCTCAACAAGCAGTATCGGGTGCTGCACCCAGGAATCCAGGACTTGCAGTATGAGCAGAGTGCGCCCCAAGGTAACATGAACGCAGTTGCAACTGTTGTGCGTGAAGCCCCTGCGGTCTAGCAAACGTTTCCCATGATCCACAGTAGACTTGCACATGTCCAGGTCAGCAATTGGAATTTCCGTCCACTAAGTGCCTCACAGGCCGGCACACGTCACTGCACCGGTGCCTGTGATCTCGCCCATTGAGACTGAGTATGTTCTGTTGAGAGAATGTCTTTTGCCTCGCTCTCTAGGTCATCTATGCTGCAACAGATGCACACATCCTTCTGCGGCTAGAATCTGCCTTGCGAGAGCAGCAAGTCAAGAGCCGAGAGGGGAGCACAAGTCTGTGTGGCGGTCTCGAGGGGACCGCTGGGAGTGTTTGTGCTAAGGTGTTGCCGCAACGCATCTGGGGTGTGTCCGCCAGAGCATGGTGCTCGGTGCATAAGTTATTTCTAGACTGCGGCATGCGCAGATTGGTCAAGACATTTCAATGCCCGCAAAGGACTCAACTCAGCCGGCCTGGTGGCGGGACAGCGCTGGGACTTCAGCCGCCGAAAACAGAAGTTCGTGCGTGGCAGGTTGTGCGCATGCAGCAATGTGCTAACCGCCGCTCAACGCAGGATGTAGCCGAAGCTTTGAACAGACTTGGCTCCAATGCTGTCGGGCATGTCCCAGATGCTCAGCCTCAACTTAGCTGACTTGACAGTGAGCGATAAAGACCTCCCCGGACTGCAGTGCAAGCACGCTAGTGCCAGCAAGGACTGAGACCGACCTTCTCGCTCGCCTTGATTCCTTGATGCCTCAATACTTCAATCCTCAAGCAACACACAGAACTCTGCACTTTCTTGCTCTTGGGCTGGCCATGGCTTTTGACATAGAGAATGCCGGAGGCAGGGTCCAGGGGGTCCAGGCTCTGGCACGCGCAAAAGAGGAGCAGAACAGCGCTGGACAGGTCTACCGCCAGCGAGGCAGAAATCGCAAGATGATGTGGACGAGGTGAAAGTCAGCCAGGCCTGATATGCTCTTGACTCTTGATGCTTCTGCTTGTGTGCAGTTAACGTGGCATTCTCCAGGTCTGAACTCTTGAGTACTTGAGGGGTTTAGGGCTCGCTTTCCGAGGCACAGCAGCCATTCGACAAGTACGACGTGGCCGAGCGATGCAAGGAGCTGATGAGACGAGCATCCAACATGCTGACGCCTCAGAGATTATGTATGACTTTGAACAAGCGAAGCTATGCTAATATGCGATCGTCGGAGCAGATCCTGTGGCAAACGTGGGTCCTCGGCCAGCCAGCTGAAGGGGATTCGGCACAGTCGCACAAAGATGCACACCAACAGGAAGACAAGATCTGGACTTGTCGACCAAGTCGCAAAAGATCCTTGCCCCATGCCCATCAGCAGGCATGTGATTCAGGGCATCTGAGAGCGAAGGAGTAGCAGCAGATGGCATTTGGTTTACAAGAGAGTCAGGGCAAACAGAGCAGGGCCTGGAGGTGAGTGCAGAAAGATACGCTTGCTGCGAGTGCCCCCCCAAGCTCGGAGTATTCCAATCCTATTGCTGTGTTCGGTCCATGTGAGGTCGACACCTTCAAGTGCCAGACCTAGACCTAGTTGGGGTGCCAGCGTCGCGGTTGAGGGAAGGGAGCTCCGGGGTTTGCAGGCTTGAAATGGGACATCCTTGAGCTGATGGAGTAGTCTTCATGCGAGTGTTGTGCTGCGTGCTAGACTTAATCACTGGAATGCGTCAGCGCTCTACAGGAGTCTCACCACCAATTGCGAGAGATTCGAAGGGTCGGCCACTGAGCCTGAGCCTGCGTCATGGTCTCCCCATGTCTTTGGCGCCACTCTGGCAAGGCCCATTCTGAACCCGAGAGGGGCCTTTGGCAGGCCAGGCATGGATCTTTCTTGGCTGCAGCTTGAATCGGATTGAATCTGGCTGACAGGAAATCCAGAATGCGATATCTAATGAGCACACCGCAAGCACGCTTCCAGCAACCCAGCCGCAGAGAGCCTCGAAATCGTACGTTGGGACTTGTTCTTCGCGACGGCCCCTGCGAGACTGTGGCGTAAAGGTTAGTTTGCGGAAGCAATGCGACGAAATCCTCGACAGACGAACTGTCGCCCGCTGCTCAGCCAGAGTTTGCATGGCAGTGGAGCACACTCACTACTGTGGCATAGCTAAGCTCTGGACAATGTGCATTTCGTCACAGCCTTTGCTCCAACTGCTGGTATCCAGGGTCTCTTGACAGTCTAAAGCCCCACCGGAAAAGCCCGCATGCCACCGCTATTGGAGAGCCAGAGCTACCGAAGTCCAGAAGGGTGCCAGGACACCGGCCGCGATGTCAGCGACAGTGATAGTCACGCTGATGCCGGCGATTGCGGTGGTGCTTGTAATAGTGCTGACGACACTTCGGATGAGGGTGAGGGCTCGGCGGCGGTGGTGATATGATGTGAGATGCACATCACAGCACGCAGCGGATGATTCTTGATTCAGTTCGCACAGTGATGATCTTGCATCATGGTGGGGCTATAATAAAAGAGGGGCCTCTCTCCGGCCAGTGGCTCGGCGACTTCAACACCGAGCTGGCTGCTATCCCGGCCCGTGGCCAGGAGGCTCACCGCAGGATCGAAAATAGACTGGCTTCTGGAGTTCTTCGAGTTCCAGAGGTTGCATGGAAGAGTCTACTGAACTCGAGCCATAGTCATCACGAGCTTACGCAATTTTCACGCCATCTGAAATCGGCGCCGGCTGCATGTTTGATGCATCATCTGAAGGACTGCAGCCATGGTAGTAAGCACTTGACAGCACACGGTCTGCAGGCCCGCCCGCTTTGACCGAACCAGAATTGGCAGGTGCGCGAGCGGCTTTTGTTTGAGGACGTCGACCGCGCCGGCTGGTTCAGTGCGGCCGGGATCAGTGCATTGGAGGCCAACACGCACCCAAAGCCCTGCCAAGCTGATCCAAGCTGGCCACAGGTTCAGCGCCTCCTGGAACGGCATGCCGAGATGCATCAGGCTTTCCTGGCATAGACGCCGTTCCCCGAAGTGAAATCTGTTGGGAAAACTCAATTAAAAAAACCTCTCAACTCCGCTCTCTGCCCGGCCTCTGCCCAGCGCGCTGCTCGATTCTCTCGGCAGCTGAAGCTCCTGAGTCCGAGCCTTGGCTTCGGCGGTTTTCTCATCTGCTGCCCTTCGATGCTGCACTCCCAGTCTCAGAGGCCGCGGGCTTCAGCAGCAGGGTGCGCTCTCCTCCCGCCGCCGTGCATTCCAGGTCGTTCAATTCTACCTGTCCTGCTGACATTTGCAGCTTCGGCGCTGCAGGCAAAGACAGTCGGCGAAAAGCTTCAGTCATCGCTTGTGTGCCTTGCTGCCGTCGCAGTCTCAGTGTCTTTGTCCTCTTTCTCGCGTGCAGTCGATGAGCAGTTTTCTGCATTGGTTTGGCTGGGTGATGGACCAACGAGGTGGCTGTTGCTCCGGTTCCTGGATCCAGCGAGATGTGGCTAGCGACCACCACCATGATGTGGTTGGATAAAGACCAAGCATGGTGCGCACCGGCATGTGCTTGGAGAGGCGACCCGGATGCCGCGGGTCTGCTTTGTCCGCTGCAAAACATAGACAGACGGGAGAGTAAGTCTTGCAAACTTAAACACGCAGTATGAAATCGTACCAGTAGACGGAATACTCGCCCAGAAATTGCAGCCGCCTGGCCAGGCAACATGTGGTGTACGAGCATCCTCGAGACGTGAACACCGATACCATCTTGGATCAGTTTCAGTGCCGATCGAGCAAGGCCTTGCTCGGCTGGGAGAGAGTCGGCCTTCCAGTCTGAGATATTCTGATCCCAGCACCTGCTTGCTTTTCGCGGCGTCATCAGCCACCGGCAATCACCGGCATGGAGAACAGTCACTTCTCATACAGGAACCTCAATGCATGGCACAAGATCACAGCTGCAGTCAACAAGCTAGCCAAAACTGGCTAACTCGCAGAAAGCGAAGTCACTTAGCAACTTGATCCAGCAAAGCTCTGGCACGGCAATTGACTAGACGCAAGAGGTGCCAAGGCCACCGATTTAATGAAATAACGGAGATCCCCGTGGGCTTGGGCCGCTTGGGCTCATGGCTGACTTCCGTCTTCGCCACCTGCAGAGATGAGCTCACGGCCCGAGGCACGTCCAGTTTTGACGGTCAGCTTGGCCGTTTCACGTGACTTTTCATCCCCAATCCACATCCTCCAGGCCAAGGCTAATGGCAGGCCGCTGCAAGCTTGTGCAAAGCCTGAGAAGTCAAAGTCAGCAGCTTCGTGTCTTTTGAGAGCCGCAGCCCAAGTCGCCGTTTTTCAGTGGAGGACCCGGAAGAAGCAGCGGTTTTATCCGCTGGCCCCAGAGCCGAAGGCTCAACCAAAGGATGGCATTCTCCAGCCGGTGCTGCTTGGATGTCCGGCAGGCCAAACGAGCTCGACCCGAGAATCCCTCGTACGGACACACAGCTTATGGCAGATGCCTTCAGACTGGCTCCAGGTTCGGTCGGTTCGGTGGGTTCGGTGCTTCGCTTATCTTCGTTCCAAGGTTGGGTCTGGAGGCACTTCTGGCTGGGCCGTCTTGCTGGACCTCCGATGCCGCAGAGGCGAGGCAGCTGCTGCATCGCGCCGCAGAGCGCGCTACGCCGGACAACGCTGGTCGCGGGAGGCTTTGGTGGCCTTCGGCCAGATGGCCAGCTTGGCCATCGAGGAGGTCCCCAACCTGCAGGAGATGTGGACAGCCCTGGAGGCGCTTGGAAAAGATCTGATCTGATGACTTGTAGCTGGACATGCGCGCATGCAGGCTGTGGGCAGCAGCCTCTCCTCTGATGCCGGCGGAGCAGCGCTGAGGCGTCTGCCGGATCTGTCCGGTGACCCGGACCCATCTCGACCCGTTGGTCACTTCTGTACCATGCTTCTTTGGATCGGGATGCGAGGCTGGGTGCTGCTGCCGTGGACGGCGCCAGCGAGGGCTTGCGGTCGCACCTGGAGAAAGGGGGAGCTATCGAGGCGAGCGCCACAGGATCAGTGTCGAGGAGAAGAAGCGGAGGGTTGCAGCGCTTTGAGGCCTTGCCACTTCCCACCCGGGCACAGGCATCGAGAGTCACGAATGCCCAACACCGGAAAGTGAGAGTGGTGCGGAGTGGTGAGTCTGTTGCAGGGCAACGGCTCGACATCCTCCGAGGCAGACCGCTCAGCACGCAGCCAGTAGTGGGGCTGTCACCACCCGCGCTTTGCTGCAGGCGTTTCGATGGCTCCACGAACGCGTTGAAGCCGAAACCTCGCATCTGAGCTTCTCTTGGAATACCTGGCGGATCGCTGCGTTGAGGCCGAGCTGGATGCTGCCATCCAAGGAAAGCGAGACATTCCGTCCCTCCAGTGGCTAATCACTCAGCTCTGTTGCTGGGGCGCCAAACGCGGTGCAGGGCTGCGGCTTGCTGAGGTTGGAAACCGTAGCCATGTTCTATGGCCGGTTGCGGCCAGGGCCGCCGTTGCCGCGCAACGTCTTGGAGGCAGCCCTGTTCCCTTGGCGAAAGCCAGCTCGAGGCTTCATGCTTCGCTTTCGCGAGGACTCCGCAGACCTGGCTCTGAGAGCCGTCGAGAAGTGCTCCCCTTTGGAGGTGCCGGGGCCGGGGCCCAGCGCAGTCGCAGTGGGAGTGCTCCGAGCCGCTGGACTTCGCAAGTGGAGAAGCAGAAGCATGCCGAAGCCCTCTGGGATCTCAGCTAGAAGCAGCGTCCCAGTCAGCTTAGAAGCCCGTCAGCAGTCGTATGCCACCTTTTAGTGCGATGTCGGAGTCGTGACCACGTGAGCACCTCACGCCTCTGCACCTTGCTGCAGATCCCAAGCGCTTGGTGGCCATGGCTTCCTGCGTGAGCTGTGCAGGGGACGCCTATGGCCAGAGCCGCAAAATCAAGGTAAGGAAGCCCAAGCCCTATACAAGTACCCAAAGATGGCGCTGGGATACCCCTTTGTCGCAGTGCCCGCATCCCTTGAGCACGCCTCGTGCTTTTCAGGCCTCTGGATGCCGGCCAGTTGCTTTTGCGGAAGATCCGCCGGAGTGGCAAACGAGCCAGCCCAGAGCTGCTGGCAGGCGTTGCGTTGCGTTGCGGTGCCCGCCGCACGCGGGGGCACGCAGAGGGACGCGCTGCCTGCAGGCGTTGCAGGTGCACTCCATGGCCTGGCCGGAGACAGGGAGCGCACGGTTCTGCTACGAGGACAGAAAAAGAGCGCGTCAGCAGAAAACACGTAAACGGCGGTTCTCCTAAATGTCGGCGCCAGTGCCCCGGATTCGGGCGCTGTCGGGCGAACGTGGGAGGTCTGGCGAAGGTGGTGCATTGGCAGCTGGCGGTTTCTTTGCTTCGCTCTGCTCAGCCCCTTGGCCTGGCTCTCTCCGTGTCTTGCCGTCTTGCTGTGCTCCTGTTTCCAAGTGATCCCGTAAAGTTTTCCGAGGACCCAAAGACTGAACAGCAATGTCAATGTGGTGCACTGCAACACGGTGCTGAGCTCGTGCCAGAAGGCTGCGTGGCCGGTTGGACACCAGTTACTTCGCACCGCCACGGAAAAGACGCTCGCCTGCATCTGGATCTGTTTTGGGAGTGCAAGTTCCGACTGTGCGAGTACACTGCGCTGCAAGTTCAGGCAGCTGCAGCCTGACACCATCAGCAACCAGGTTGCTGATTTTGACTTGATGTCCTATTTCGCCTGAGCTCGGAGGGGCCTCTTGGACTGACAAACACATCCGAGTCCGAGGCTTCAACACGCTCATGGCATCCTGCGAGAGCTGGCACTGGGCGCTGTTCGGTCTCCTGCAGTTGGCGAACGAAGGCATTGCGATGGACCTCATCAGCTGCAACACTGCCTTGAGCATCTGTGAACGATGTAGCAGGCCAATGGCATTGAGTTTCATTTCTCGTGAGGAGCTTTGGAAGTGTGATCGTCGCCTTTGCTTGCGTGCGCCACGCGCTCTGTCGGCGGGCATTGTGAGTGCCAGGTGGAGAGAAGCAGTGCACATCGTTGACGACAACGACTCTTCCTATGGGGGCCCGGGCAGTCTAACTTTCGACATCATCACCTTCAGCACCCTCATCAGTGCCTCGCATAGAAGTGGCAGACCAACCAGCCGTTGCATCCATGTGCAATGTGGGATTGGCCAACGGTTAACTTGGAAGCTCGACGGATCGCAGGCCTACTCACCGAAGCATCTCCAAGCTAGTCTTTAAGTGTCCGATCGAAAGTCGTGAGGCTCTTGGAACGAGGCTGGGCACTGGCAGCAGGCACTGCATCTGTTGGAAGCTTGGTGAAAAGAAGGGGACACTTCAAGATTGGCAAGTTCTGTTGCGTTGCTGGGCATTGCACATACAATTCAGATTCCACTGAGCTGTTGAGCGGACAGGAGTCTTCCGGAGAGACAGCAAGAGTCGCTTCGCACAGCCCGGATGGCATGAAAGAGAGATGTTGTAAGCCAAGCCCCTTTCACCATCCAGGTCCCGGACATGTGCAGGAAAGGGACTCGCACCTCTTGAAAGCTTTCTGCGCATCGTCTGAGCACAAAGGAAGATCTTCCTTCGAGGAGCTTGCGGCTGGACCTCACAGCGCTGAACGCCGCGCTTGCGCTTGGAGGCGCTTGGGCGCTTGCAGTGGAGATCCTTGAGAGCTCAGGCAGCGGCCTGAGCTGTCACTTTTGATTCTGGTGGATCTCCGGCAGGGTCTACAGGTGCTTTTCGCTTGTTCCTAGGTCAGGCAGCACTGCAGACCGACGAAATCTCATGCAACACGGTGACGAGTTGCTGCGAGAAGGCGCGTGAGCCCAAGTAGCCATCAGCTACATCTACATTGCATCAACGATAGATAGGCTGGTACATGACAGAAGTGTGAAGTCAAGACCGCGACGATCAGGGGCTTGCGTTAGGACGCGGAGAACGTCCAAGACCCCTGTTTGGCATCCTTGTAGGAGGACTCTGTCACTCAACTTGTCTGCCGGGCTGATGCTGCGACATGTACCATAGTCCTCCCTGAAGTCTTCTCGCTGGCTGCCAGCTCTACAACTACTGCGTGCAGCAGGCAAGTCGGCTTGCCGCTGCTTTGGAGTTTCAGACACACGGGCACCCTCCCGAAAAGCAACTACAGAGGGACCTTGAACCCCTTTCAGTCTTCCTTGCGGCAGATGCAAGCTATGCGTCCGGGGTGTTGAGCCGGGAACCTAACCCTGTCGGTTTCGGTGCTTGGAAGGCGGCTCACTGTTGCGGCTGGCCGAGAATGGTCCTGCCCTCAGAGCATGAATGCTGCAAGCGCAGAGGCAGTTCCAGAGAGTGGGTCTTCTCGCAAAAACTGGCCAGGCTATCACGCCGCGATTAGCGCCTGCGAGAAGGCGCGGAGATGGGAAGTTTCTCTGGATATCACAGAGATTTTGGCGACGACCGGCCTCGATCGCGGTATCTTTGCGTCCGCTGCCAGCATCAGCGCTTGTGAGAAGGGCAAGCAGTGGCGAGAAGCCTTTGAAGTTTTCGCGATGGCTGCCGAGCGACTGCTTGAGCTCAACACCGTTGCATGGACAGACGGGCAAAGCGAGGGAAGGCTGTCATTCCTTGATGAACACGCGACATGAGTTATCAAGCACGAAGTAACATCAAGTGAACATGGAATCGCAGGAGCGCGTTGGTCAGCTCCTGCGAGAAGATTGGACACTGGACTCTTGCAATCACCATGCTCTCCGAGCTACTCAGTGGAACAACGGGGCCTTGTTCGGTTCATCTTTCAAACACAAGATTGGTTGAACTGTCTTTGGCAGCCCTCTTGAACAACGCTGCATCTGTGGAGTGTCAGGATGTTCTCAGAGCAGCTGCCAACGAGCTGCGTAACCTGCAATGCTGCCATCAGTGCCTGCGAATTTGCCCTGCAATGGCAACTCGCGGTGCATGGCCTGAGTGCCATTCACACGCTGCGCCTTTCGCCAGACGTCATCTCCTGGAATTCAGCAGCGAGTGCCTGCGAGAAACGATCCGCGTGGTCACAGGCTCCATCTCCAACTTGTCGCCCCAATAGAGCCTTGACGGCCGCACGTCGTTACGACCCTGCAAGGTCTTGAAGATCTTGGCGGACTTGCCTGGCCATAGTCGGACGTCGGACGGCATCACCTGCAGTGCCGCGACCTTTGCCTGCGACCGCGCGAGCCGGTGGCGGCATGTGCTGGACCTCGCCGCCGAGATGGCGCGGAGCCAGCTGGAGCTGGAGTCCCGGCCCGCCCATCAGGAAGCGGCACGCTCTTTTCATGTTGCGTTTTTTTTCTTGTCTGCTTCGACGGCCTTTCTCGCAGAGCCGAGGACGTGATTCTCCAGCAAGCGAGGCTTCGAGCATGTGTCCGAACTTCTTCAAGCCCTCGGCCGAAGGACAAGCTCGCACTTGACAGGATGACGGTGAGGCACAAGGTGGTAGGACTGAGGACTTAGGACACAGTCACAGCGTGCAGTTGGATTGCAGGATCTGTTTGATGAAATTGCTGCCACTGGGATCTCGTCGCTGAGGGACGTGATGGAAAAGCGTCAGAACTCACCAGTCTTGCATTGCGGCGCCTGCATTGCCTGCCCGATAAAAGATCCTCGCCGTCGCCAGGCTGAGCAGCTGACGAAGCTGAGCCGAGTGGCACTGGGTGCAGCCGGGCTCCTGGAGTGCACCTCAAACGTGCATGGAATCACTTGATGAGCGCATGAGAGCCAGAATGCAGGCTCTGAGTGGCACACTCGGCTGCCACCCCATCTATGGCCGGGTCTGGTACTTGAAGTGCAGTGGCGGCTGGCAAGCGTCTTATATCGTTAAAGCTTAAAGCTGCTGCTAGGTCGCGTCGGCAGCAGCAGCCGCGCTGGATGGTGGCGAGGCGAATCTGACGACAGCAGAGATGATGCGGATTGAACAAGCTCAGTGCTCAGGCCAGTACTCGCCTCTCCAGCAGCACCATCCATGCCCGCTTCCCGGTTGAGCGCTTTACCGATGCTTCGGAGAACATGTCGTCTTGTTCGGGTCTGCTCCAGCACAGGATGTTTCACTGACATTGGCGCTGCTGCAGCCTTGGAACGTGGAGCCAGGAACTTACACAAAAAATCTGAGTCTGAAAGTGAAGGGGACTTGGGGACCGGCTTTCCAAAGCATTCCCGAAGGACGGAGGAGCAAGTAGCGCGATTTCGCAGCTCTGTTGCAAAGAACGTGCTGTCCGGGAACCTAGACGGCCCACCCAAGCCAGCAAGAGCGCCGCGACAAGATTCCATGGTCCAAGGCCCAAAGCCGAGTCTGCCCCTGCGGGATCAGAGGCAGGGCCGGCACGGGATCGGGATGCGACGGGATGCGACGCATTTTGCTTGCAGGTGATCTTTCTCGGGGCCTCCTCCGTGGCAGGATTGTTTGAGCCTCAGGAGCAAGATTCAGCCTCCAAAACCTGCTTGTTGACATGCTCAGGCGAAATGGTGAGCCCAAAGAGAATCAGGCTTCTCTGTGAACCCTTACACAGTCACCAGATGCAGCGAAGCTCCTGTGCCAGGACACCTTCCATGCGCACGTGGATGGAAGTGTGGCTACCATAGCTGTCGTGGATGGTGCCGCGACCCAGAATCTTTGTTTTGATGGGCATCGTCAGCTCGGTTGATCATGTGAGCTTCTCTCAGGTCACGGGAAGCGCGGCCAGGCAACCCATGCAAGTTTCTCATTGCCGCCAAACAGCCTTCATCTGGGAATCAGTGACGATCAAGAGGGTTGGCCAGTGCTCGGCATGATACGTAGATGCGGATTGAGATGCTACCTCTGGTCCGCGAGTTTTCTGCCAGATCTTATCTGCTGCTGCGCGAGACGGAATCGCCAAAGCGCTGGCGGAGCTGCGACCTCGGGTTTGCATGATGTAAGCTTTGAGCTGGGGGCAGTGCTCAGCCACGGGTGAAGGGTGAAGACCCAGTAGCAGCAGCAGCATAAATGGACAAGGCGTTGCTTGTGATCGCTTTGCCATCCACTGCAAAATAGGCTCGAGTTCAGCCTGGATCGCTCCATGTTGCCACTGATTGTTTTTGCCGTCGTGAGAAGAGGAACCCCTAGTTGGCAAATGCAGAGCTTTTCGTGGCAGCACAACATGGGCGCCATCACGAATGGCTATTCAACTTTCATTGATTTAAGCCTTGAGGATACATGGGATCTAGTCCTACTTAGAAGCCGAGCATGCATTTGCTCTGCACACTATCTAATAACTTTTGTGTTCCTCGTTATTGCGACATCATGCTTCTTCTGCTGTTCTGCAGCTTCCATTTGTGACACGACCTGTTGCCTGTGCAGATCGAGTGATGTTTTTTGTGTCGGAGTCTGAATTGTTCGTGATCGTATCCTTCGTGTTTTTCAGCGAGCTTTGCTGTGGCCAATCTTGCGCCGGCAGTCTTTTGCGTTCTCGGTTTGAGTCCGGGTTGTTTGTTTGTTATCTTGAGTTGCTCAGGCTGATCAAGTCTCTCCAGTACTCGTATCTGACATCTGTCTCTCTCATACTTCTACTGCCTTGGGTGGCTTTGGCCTCTCTGCCTGGCTTTGGAGCTTTTACTTCGCTTCGCTTCGAAGCCAAGGGCTTCTGCTCCTCCGAGGCTCAAGGGCGGCGCGGGCGCGTCGGAAGAATTGGCCGAGGCCAGGGGCGGACCCAAAACGGATCAGATCCAAGCAGCCGGGATGAACATGGAGCGCGCTTCCAAAAAGTGCTGCAGGGTCCCTGCCTGTCCATCGCAAGTAGCCTACCGGCCTACCGATGTCGATTTCAATCATCCGGCCGTGATAACATCCTCGACCCAGCGTTCTCAGTCGTACAGAATCATCCGCAGGTCATCATGACGGTGGATGCGGACCTGTTGATCCACGAGAAGGCGCTCCGTAATTGCAGAATCTCCATGGGGTTGGAGCACGTTGCCCCATTGTGGCCAAGCCAAAGTGTCGACCGCAAAGGCCGAGGTGGAAGCAGAGCTCTCCGGTGCGACCTGTGCGGAGCTTAGGCCGTACAGCCAAGAAGCCCATCCGTTCGGCGGTAGGTTCGGGGTCTGCGCTGGTTGTGCACGAGTCGAGTCGAAAGCACTCACTTCCACAGTCCACAAGATTCACAGAGGACTCGCGCTTGCATCAGGTGCCGTGCTGAGGGTCGAGGGCTTGGGCCACGCCGAGCGCAGGCGCGCAGCAGGGTTAACCTCAGAAACGAGAGGCAGGTTTTCCCTGCCTGGTTTGCGAGTCTTGCGTCCTGTCTCTTTGTCTCTCTGTCCGTTTGTAAAATGTAAACATGACGAACTCGCTTCTTTCCAGCTGCACCTCATCTCAGCTTCGCACATTTCAGGCTGGCCTTGGCTCACCTGGGGGACTGCCGTGCGGCGCTGGTCTTATCGGTCAGCCTGCGCGCTTGATCGTGATGTAGGCCTCCCCCACGAAGCATGCCTGTAGCTTCTTCGATGCCCTGGTCGCATTGCAACATTCATCCTCCGGCCTCGATGTGCTGTTTTATTCTTATGGTTCTAAGGTCTTGGGTCGTGTGCGACCCACCAACGGTACCGGCTCGCGCGGCACTGAGTCGCGATGTCGCGACTCGCGACGCAGAAGTCCGGACAACAGCCCAGAGTTTCCTCGTCTGCTCAAAGGCTGACCTGGACCACTGTTCGGCTCACAGAGGACCACCGGCCAGGAGAGGCTGCGGAGGCAGCTCGGCTCGTGGCTGCTGGTGGTCGCGTGCCGCGGGCTAAGGCTTAAAGGCTTAGCGGCTTAGCCCTTCGCTTTTCATGTTGAGGCAGGTTTTGTGCTATGGAAAAGTCAGGCAGAAGATGCCGGGGCCAGCGGGCGTGGATCCCGCCATGCTGGGGCCTCCCAGGCCGCGCAGCTTCGAGAGGTACTCATCTGATTACCTATGTACTTATCGTTGTTATGACCTTTATCATTATCATAACCGATTAAAGCATCGCATCTAACCTCATATCATGTCACATGATATCGTATCATATTATACCATATCATGTCTCATCATAACACACCATGTCATGTCACATATCATGTGTCATATCACACATCGTACATCTCTGAATCATACATCTCTGAATATGTGCCATATAGCATGAACATGATTCACATATCATTACCATGTCATGTCATATTACAACACGTATTATTATATCATCATTTTTATTGTTATTGCTGTTGTTGTTGTTGCTGCTGTTGCTGCTGCTGCTACTACTACTCCTACTACTACTACTACTACTACTACTGCTGCTGCTGCTACTACTACTACTACTACTACTGCTGCTACTGCTACTGCCACTGCTACTGCTACTGCTACGGCTACGGCTACGGCTACGGCTACGGCTACTGCTACTGCTACTGCTGCTGCTACTGCTACGGCTACTGCTACGGCTACGGCTACGGCCACTGCCACTGTGCTACTGCTACTGCTACTGCTACGGCTACGGCTACTGCTACTGCTACTGCTGCTGCTACTGCTGCTGCTACTGTTGCTGCTGCTGCTACTGCTGCTACTGCTGCTACTACTACTGCTAGGGTTCCGCGCCTCCTGGCGCCTGGTAGTTTTGAGTGGTCGAGTGTGTAAAATACTGGGCTTTTAGTTGTTTAGAGAAATTGTAGTTAAGACAACTTCAAACGAACTAATTGCTTGGGCTTATGTTGATGATGATGATGATGATGATGAGGATTATGAGGATGATGATAAGGATGAGTATGAGGATGATGATGAAGATGATCAGGTTAACGATGATGTTGAAGATGGCGAGGCTGATGGTTAAGATGGTGATGAAAATGGTCAGGTTAATGTTCATGTCACTGCCTTTGGCGATCATGCCCAAAACACTGGTATTTACAGCATGTTTTGCTCTTTGTACAACATGCTGCACAAGGATGTGGAGCAAGACACGTTGTCACAAGCATCCTACTACTGCTACTGCTACCGGCGCTACTGCGTTACTGCTTGCGGTCAACCATGTCGTTATTCCCCCCCCCCCCACCCCACCCCCCATACCCCACCCCCCCCCCCGTGGCTGGCTTAAACAGGGTCTATTTGGAAGCTGGCATTCGGGCTTTGCTGTGGTCATATATCCTCACACGAAGGCCGGCGAGCTGGTCCCAGCGAGCTAGGGCACGTATTGGAACAACATTCTGTTAATGTCAGGTTTGTGTCACAAGACCTGAGTCGGACAGCAAGCTAACACAAAGAAAGCGGCAAGCAGCAACCAAACAGGCCCCTCCAACTTCACGAGAATTCAAAAATCTGCGTTTACCCATCGGTCGGAAAGAAAAGAACTCCTCTCTCTATTGATCAGGGGATTGGATCCCGAAAAGATGGAGAACAGCATACGCACAAGAAGAAGAAACCTCCGTTCTCTCTTGGCAACGGAAAGAGATCTTGATTATTTCCTTTACCTTTTCAAAAGATGGACAAGGGCATACGCTCAAGAAGAAAGGGCGGAGATTCCCCACCCCTCAACGAAAACACGGAGAAAGTCCCTCCAAGTCATTCAGCTGATCTCTAGCAGCGAGCTCCTCTACCTCTTGGTAACTCTCCATCTCCTCTGACGATAAATGAAGAGAGCTCGCTGCTTCGTCATCCGCAAGAAATGAGCTTCTTTTCTCCAAAAGGGTAAGGAAGAGATCCCTTGGCACATCCCCTACCGCAGCATCTCCAAGGAGCAGAGAACCCTTCCAACTTCACGAGAAAAAAGGAACTCCGGCTGCCTCCTAGTCGACAACAAGAGAGAGGATCTCCTTGTCGTCCCCTCTTTCTCCTCAAGGGATAGAAGAGAGATAGCTTTCAAGAAGTGAGGACTGAACTGTCTCAATCTTCAAAAGAAGAGTCTGGTCCTCCCCTTAGCCTTCAACAAGACATGAGCAGCCCTCTACCCCGTCCTCTGAATTAGCTCCCGAAAAGACAAATCCTCTGCCTCATCCTCGACAAGAAGAGACTGAGAGCAATCTAAGGGGGCAGAGGAAAGCGCCATCTCAACAAATCAAGCAGGCCGCTCCAACTTGACGAGAAAGAAGAGGGCTCCGTTTACCCTTCTGCAACAAGAGACCTCCTTTCTTTCTTGATAAGGGGGGGGATGCTCAAGAAGAAAGGGTGGAGCTCCCCCCAATTTTCAAGTAGAGACATCTGGTCATCCCTCAGCCTTCAAAAGGAAAAGACCTCATGCTCCAAAATAAGAAGAGAGTCCCCAGGATATTCGTGGCAACAGAAGAGAGCATCCCTTTTTACCTCTTGGTATGTCGCCTTGTCGTCTTAATTAAGAAGATTGAAGAGACATCGCTCCTAGCAAGAAAGGACAGAGCTCCCCTAGCTTCCAAAAAGAAAGATTTTCTACCTCATCCTCCACAAGAAATCACTGAGAGCTTCCTCCTATGCAATGAGGCGTAAGAGAGCTCCATCTCAGTCCAGCAGACAGGCCCCTCCAACTTCACGAGAATTCAAAGGTCTCCGTTTACCCATCGGTCGGAAAGAAGATAACTCCTTTCTCTCTTCATAAGGGGATTGGATCTTGAGCATTTCTTTTGCCTTTTCAAAAGATGGAAGACAGCATACGCACAAGAAGAAGAACCTCCTTTCTCTCTTGGCAGTGGAAAGAGATCCTGATTGTTTCCCTTACCTTTTCAAAAGATGGAAAAGGGCATACGCTCAAGAAGAAAAGGCGGAGATTCCCCCACCCCTCAACGAAAACACGGAGAAAGTCCCTCCAAGTCATTCAGCTGATTTCTAGCAGCGAGCTCCTCTACCTCTTGGTAACTCTCCATCTCCTCTGACGATAAATGAAGGGAGCTCCCTTCTAGTCGAAGAAGACAAGGCTCAACGCATCTCCAGTTTCAAAAAGAACTGCGGCTGCCTCTTATAGTCGACAAGATGAGAGAGGAGCTCCTTGTCGTCCCCTCTTCCTCTTCAAGGGATAGAAGAGGGATAGCTTTCAAGAAGTGAAGACAGAGCTCGCTCAATCTTCAAAAGAAGGGGAGGATCAGACTTCAACAAGACATGAGCAGCCCTCTACCCCATGCTCTGAATTAGCTTCCAAAAAGACAAATCCTCTGCCTCATCCTCGACAAGAAGAGACTGAGGGCTTCCTCCAATCTAATGGGACAGAAGAAAGCGCCATCTCAACAAAGCAAACAGGCCGCTCCAACTTCATGAGAAAGAAGAGGGCTCCGTTTAGCCCTCGGCAAGAAGAGACCTCCTTTCTTTCCTGATAAGGGGAGGGGATCCTGATTATTTCCGTTGCCGTTTTAACAATGGAAGAGAGCATACACTCAAGAAGAAAGGGTGGAGCTCCCCCCAATTTTCAAATTAGAGACATCTGGTCGCCCCTCAGCCTTCAAAAGGAAACGACCTCATGCTCCAAAATAAGAAGAGAGTCCCCTGGATATTCGTGGCAACAGAAGAGAGCATCCTTCTAGCAGAGAGCCTTTTTACCTCTTGGCATGTCGCCTTTTCGTCTTAAGAAGATAGAAGAGACCTCGCTCCTCGCAAGAAAGGACAGAGCTGCCCTAGCTTCCAAAAAGAAAGATTTTCTACCTCATCCTCCACAAGAAATCACTGAGAGCTTCCTCCCATGTAATGAGACGCAAGAGAGCTGCATCTCAGCCCAGCAGACAGGCCCCTCCAACTTCACGAGAATTCAAAGGTCTCCGTTTACCCATCGGTCGGACCGAAGATAACTCCTTTCTCTCTTCATAAGGGGATTGGATCTTGAGCATTTCTTTTACCTTTTCAAAAGATGGAAAACAGCATACGCACAAGAAGAAAAAACCTCCTTTCTCTCTTGGAAGTGGAAAGAGATCCTGATTATTATCTTTACGCTCAAGAAGAAACGGTAGGGATTCCCCCACCCCTCAACGAAAACACGGAGACAGCCCCTCCAAGTCATTCAGCTGATTTCTAGCAGCGAGCTCCTCTACCTCTTGGTAGGTCTCCATGTCCCCTGAAGAGAATTGAAGGGTGCTCGCTTCTAGTCGAAGAAGACAAGGCTCAAAGCATCTCCAATTTCAAAAAGAACTGCGGCTGCCTCTTAGTCGACAAGAAGAAAGAGGAGCTCCTTGTCGTCCCCTCTTCCTCCTCAAGTGATAGAAGGGAGATAACTCTCAAGAAGTGAGGACAGAGCTCTCTCAATCGACAAAAGAAGAGTCCGATCCTCCCTGCAGCCTTCAACAAGACATGAGCAGCCCTCTACCCCACCCTCTGAATCAAGAAAGAAACCCTTCTAACCTTTCTTTCTTGATAAGGGGGGGATGCTCAAGAAGAAAGGGTGGAGCTCCCCCCAATTTTCAAGTAGAGACATCTGGTCATCCCTCAGCCTTCAAAAGGAAAAGACCTCATGCTCCAAAATAAGAAGAGAGTCCCCAGGATATTCGTGGCAAAAGAAGAGAGCGTCCCTTTTTACCTCTTGGTATGTCGCCTTGTCGTCTTAATTAAGAAGATTGAAGAGACATCGCTCCTAGCAAGAAAGGACAGAGCTCCCCTAGCTTCCAAAAAGAAAGATTTTCTACCTCATCCTCCACAAGAAATCACTGAGAGCTTCCTCCTATGCAATGGGGCGTAAGAGAGCTCCATCTCAGTCCAGCAGACAGGCCCCTCCAACTTCACGAGAATTCAAAGGTCTCCGTTTACCCATCGGTCGGAAAGAAGATAACTCCTTTCTCTCTTCATAAGGGGATTGGATCTTGAGCATTTCTTTTGCCTTTTCAAAAGATGGAAGACAGCATACGCACAA